AAATTAAAGGGAACTCTGTAATGTAGCAAGCCTCTTCCTACTCTTGAATTATTTTTGCTCTGATTTTGTAACTTTCTGCATAATTCACATTCATTTTGAGATGAAGCAGGCTGCCTCTGAAGGAATGCACCACTAAGAATAACCTATCGAAAACAAAAATGCAAACATGTAACAGCAAATAACCCCCTACAAGGTACAGACATTATTTTATTGTGGCTTTGAACGATGGTAAGGATACTTTTAAAAGTTAAATTAAACATGTTAATGGTTATTTTCAAGGGGAGCTCAAGCAAAGTCTCCACCCTCCCTCACGGCCACAGGCCAACTGCCACATCCTCAAAGCATACGGGCCGCGCCGAGCGGCTCGGAAAGAGAGGCGATCTCGCGAGACGTCAAATCGACCAGCCTTTTTCTGTTGTTGTTGCTTGGTTCGGTTTGGACTCCTCCCCTCGAAGCTTTGGGCGGGGCAGCGCTTGCTCACGGGAAGGGAAAGACGGAGCTAGGCGCGCTAGTCGGGCGCCCCGCCCTCTTTCGGTGGCTTAAAAAAAAAGAAAAAGCGCGGGTGGGCGTGGCCCGACAAGAGGTGGCGGAGGCGGAGGAGGCGCGCGCGCCGAGGGCGGGACTGTTTGGAAAAGGCCAATCGGATGGAGAGAAATCCCGAGGGCGGGCCTCAAAAGAGGAGCGCGCGTGCGTACTCGCGCGTTTTGGCCCCGCCCTTCGTCGTCCCCCTCAGAAGATTTCCGTTAATGGCGCTACTGCCGAGGGGTTGTTGCGGCTGCTTCGGGCTGAGGTACTCGGCCGCAAGCCGGGCTGACCGGAAGCGGGTGGGCGCGGAGGACTGACCGAGTAGCTCCGGCACAGCCAGGTAACGACCCCGGCGGGCTTCTCCGAGAGCTGCTAGCCCCTTGACCAAAAAGGCACTAGTCCTCTTGAAGGAGTGCGGCCAATGTTTGTGGGGCCCGGGTGGGCGTTTTTCTCTTCACACATTCCTCATTAGAATCTCTCTCTTCCCGGCCTCTCTTTTTCAGGAGACTCAGTTTCCCTCTTCCTCCTCAAATCTCTTCATGAGGAAAAAAGTTCCAATTCCCATCATCCCCAGCTAGGCTTGGCCCGAGGAAAGGGGTAGCGGGGCAGTTTACACTTCCCTGCGCTTGCCAATTTTTTTATTATTATTTTTTCCTTTAAATAGAATCCAAAGGAAACAGGAGTAATTTATTTTCATATCTTAGAATATTTAAATTTTCTCCTTTTAGTTAAGAATTAAATAAGAAAAAGGGCAGAAATGCACAACATTTGACCATGCAACCAATGATTGCAAATAATGCATATTTAATATATGCAATAAATATATAATGCATTTATAAAACATGTAAATGTATTTCCTATTCAGTTCCTGTGTAGAATATGGAGATTATGTGAACTGTAATTTTCTATTTAATTTTTCTAATTTTAATTGTTTCCTTGTACTTTTTCTGCTTTTTTATTATATCGTAAGAAGCCCAGAGATACTGTACAGACAGTCCTCAACTTTTAACAGTTCATTTAGTGACCATTCAAAGGGACTTCTGACGTTGCAGCATCCCCATAGTCATGTGATCAAAATTCAGACACTGAACAAGGGTCTTATATTTATAACAGTTGCCATGTCCCAGGATCACGTAACAGTTGCAATGATTCACTTAACCACTGTGGCAAGAAAAGTCGTAAAATGGGGGAAAACTCAACAATGGTCTTAGCAGCAGAAATTTTGAACTCAGTCGTGGATGTACTTTAAGGACCACTTATAGTTAATCCTCAATAGCAATTATAATTCCTTTGAATGACGTGAAATTTTTGGTCCTGGATTTTATTGGCTGCTTCAGCATCTGGGTGGGGCATTTTTAGTCATATAAATAGTTTTCTCTGTGCCTCTAAGATTCAGCCATTATTTAAGTTTTGATATGCTTCTGTTTTCCTGAAGGTGGTAAAGAAGTGGGCATTAGGGCCTCCTGCCATCATGGGGGCAGAGGATCGCCCCCAGTGCTTCTTTGATATCGAAATTAATCGAGAACCAGGTAAGGTCTGAGGGCTCTATCAGTCTGTAAGAATATTTGTATCACGATACTTTAGAGTTCATGCTTGCAGAGATGAATGCTTCTCGTTAGTTAGATTTTGTTTACAGCCCTCTTTGGGGCACTGATCACTTGAATTTTAGTGGCTACGTGCTATTTTTATACAAGGTCAAATAGTATTTCAGAATAGCAATGCAAAGTGAAAAGAACTACTGGGGTGATATGATAGCAGTGTTCCAATATTTGAGGGGTTGCCACAAAGAAGAGGAGGTCAACCTATTTTCTAAACACCATAAGGCAGGGCAAGAAAAAAATGGATGGGAACTAATCAAGGAGCGAAGCGACCTAGAACAATGGAGAAATTTACTAACAGAACAATTAACCAGTGGAATGGCTTGCCTCTGAAGTTGTGGGTGCTCTGTCACTGGACAGCCACTTGTCTGGAATGGTATAGGTGTCCTTGAGGATGGAATTGGACTAGAAGACCTCCAAAGTCCCTTCTAATTCTGTTATTTTCTCTTTCATCATTTGTTGTATCAAGAAATAAACCAGGCTTAATTGCATACAATACAGTAAAAGTATAGCAAAATTTGGATTTAATTCCTGATTTGCTTGCTTGCTTGCTTGTTTGTTTGTTTGTTTGTTTGTTTGTTTATTTATTTATTTATTTATTTATTTATTGCCAATGAGTGAGATCAGCTAAATCAAGCCTGGCAATGAATGAGGTGACAGTTGTTGCGGCCAGATCAGCCTCGCATCCAATAAGTAGGAAAAAAAGTGACATTAAATACATTTTCTGATAATCTTTCTTAAAAATTTAGAAGTGGATGGAAGAATGAAACCATTTCTCTGTATTTCAACACAGAACATTTTAATAAGTACAATGTGGGATGCATCCAAGTGTTTCTAAGTTTGGAAAGCTCTTGTCCTGCTTTTACTATTTCTGTCCTGCAGTCCCTGGATAATTCCTTGATGTGCTGGTTTCAGGTTTATAATAATTTTTATGAATACTAGACAAGTGTTTTATTTTCATATATCAAGTTGCTTTGAATATTCAAGTGGAGGAAAGTAGGTTAGAAACACTTAAAATGAGTCCATATATTTTTGTATTCTAAACATCCCGCTTCCATAGTTTCAGCTAAAAGGTGTAAGGTTTTGTTACCTTGTTATACAAAGAAGCATATTCTCATGTCAGTTATCCAAACGTGATACTTCTTCTATTTTGCAAATGGGTTTCATATATTAAATAAATGTATAAAACATATTTACAAAATTGAAATGTATCACTTGCATTTAGATAACTGACGTGAAAATATGCTTTGTATAATAGTGAAAATGTTACTCCCTTTAGCTGAAAGTATGAGAATAACTTAAATAAGCATAGCTTCTCATTCCACATAGTGACTTAAAGGGATCTTATACAAATAAGACCAGAAACAAAACAATACACAATAGAAGCAATGTTTGATCTTAAACTTTAAAGCACCAGACTAGAAACTGGGAGACTGGGAGTTCTAGTCCCAACCATGAAAGCAGGCTGGGTGACTTTGGGCCAATCAACAGGACATGGTAAATTCTAGTCTCACCTTAGGTATGAAAGCCACCTGGGCCAATCACTAGGAGACTCTGAATTCTAGTTTCACTTTAGGCATGAAAAGCAGACCTCTCTCAGTCCAACCCATCTCACACGGTTGCCATTGTAAGGAAAGTAGGAGGAGGAAGGAGTATATATTTTATATTTATATTTATTAAAATTTATAGACCGCCCCACTCCCGCAGGACTCCGGGCGGCTAACAATAAAAACACAACATAACTTAACAAAACAAACAATACAATAACAGTCATCCAGGGGTCAGATTTTATAAACCCCAGGCCTGCCGGAAAAGCCAGGTCTTAAGCAGCTTGCGGAAAACTAACAGGGTGGGAGCGGTCCTAATCTCCGGGGGGAGCTGGTTCCAAGACATGGGCGCCATCACAGAGAAAGCCCTCTCCCGCGGCCCCGCCAAATGGCACTGCTTGGCCGATGGGACCTGAAGGAGGCCCAGCCTGTGGGATCTAACCGGATGAAGGGAACTATGAGGTAGTAGGCGGTCTCGCAAATAGCCTGGCCCTGAGCCATATAGAGCTTTAAAGGTAATAACCAACACCTTGAATTGGACGCGGAGACCAATAGGCAACCAATGCAGCTCACGGAGGATAGGTGTAACGTGGGTGTACGAGGAGCACCCACTATCACTCGTATAGGTATATTTGCTGCCTTGAGTTATTTATAAAAAAAAAAAAAGACAGAAGATAAATATACAAAAGGAACCACAATATACTGCATGCCTGTTGTCAAAAGACCAAGCTTGTCACTAGGTCGTGTTCAACTTAACAACCATCCATTTAATTATTCTTCAAATTATAATGGCACTGAAAAAATTAATTATGACCAGTTCTTGTACAGATTTTGTGTTTGTGTACGTATCACGTACATACTTAACCATATTTGTAGGGGTTGGAAAATAGGTACTAATCAAGATTCCTTTTTTGTTGTTGTTCTAGAAATTCTCACTGCAACTTACTTGCTCCAACATGTTACAAAGTGGTTATTTTTGGACTAGGATTATAATTAGAGCACATAAAAATACCTGGTCATTTGTGGAAAATGAAAGTGATCACTAAGCGTTTCTAAGTGCTCTGGCTGTGGCTTTCACTTGTTTTTCATGTCTTTACTGAAAGCAGAATATTGAGAGGGTTGCAGTTTCTGTAAGATACGGTTTGAGAAAGGCAAGCAGATAAAGCTCAAAGTTCCTATAAGTTGAAAAATGAGAAATAATTCTAATCTTCACAGCACAATTTAAATCCATGATAACATAATTGTAAAAAAGCTGCAATATGCTTTGGTTGGCTACTGTAAAAATGGTGTAATTAAACTTTAATTTATATTCCAGTTGGTCGTATCATATTTCAGCTTTTCTCTGATGTGTGTCCAAGGACTTGCAAAAACTTCCTTTGTCTATGCACAGGTATGTTTTGTTAAAGTTCTGAATAATTATAATTTTATTGTAATTCTGTACCGTGACTTATCTTTGGAGCCACTCAGAAAAGAAACACAAGGTCAGGCATCAGTGGCTGCCTGTTTCTTCCTTGGATGCCAGAAATTGTGCTTAGCAGATTAAAAAAAATCTGTAACGCAGCGTCCTTTTTTCAAATTATTAGTCTGTTCTGATACACAAATATAAATTTCCCTTAGGGCATGTTTACTGCGGGATCTCTTTTTTGAAATATCTGTTAGGAATGGACTGAAGCCTGCTACAAAAGTGACCAGTATACAGATAGTCCTCGACTTAACAACAGTTTGTTTAGTGACCATTCAAAGTTACAATTTCACTGGAAAATGTGACTTATGATAGTTTTTCAATTTAACAACCGTTGCAGCATCCCCAGGGTCACGTGATCAAAATTCAGATGCTTGGCAACTGACTCGTACTTATGAAGGTTGCAATACCCCAGGGTCATGTGACTCCCTTTTGCGACTGTCCAACAAGCAAAGTCAATGGGGAAGCCAGATTCACTTAACAGCTCTATGACTAACTTAACAACTACAGTGATTCACTTAACAACAGTTGGTAAGAACGAACATAAAAGGGGGCAAAACCCACTTAACTGTTGGGCTCAATTGTAGTCATAAGTCGAGGACTACCTGTATTCTGTCATTGAGCTAGAACAGGAGTAGGCCATTTTGGCTCTTTTATGACTCGTGGACTTCAACTCCCAGAATTCCTGAGCCAGCCATGCTGAGGGGAAAGGGAGAGGTTTCCAAGCTGAGCCATGCTGGCTCAGGAATTCTGGGAGTTGAAGTCCACGAGTCATACAGCGGCCTAGGCCAGAGGTAGGCCACCTTGGCTCTTTTATGACTGGTGGACTTCAACTCCCAGAATTCCTGAGCCAGCATGGCTCAGTTTGGAAACCTCTCGCTTTCCCCTCAGTGTGGCTGGCTGAGGAAGTTCATGGGTCATAAAAGAGCCAAGGTTGCCTATCTCTGAGCTAGAACAAAGGAATAAAAATGGAATGTCTAAATATTATTTAGTTATATCTGAATGTTATTTTTGCAGAGTTAAATTTGATACAGCGTATCAAAGTTACAGAGTTGAGCTATACACAAAGGTGCTTTTTCAAGAGGCAACTGGACTTTATTTTATTTTATTTTTTTGACGATGTTCCGCTTCTCATCCAAGAAGCTTCAGAGCTGAGGAAGCTACTTAGATGAGAAGCGGAACATCTTCAAAGAAAGTCCAGTTACCTCCTGAAGAAGCACCTTGGGACATACATGATCTGGATGACTGAAAATCTCCCTAGACATCTAATTGGGCTGTACTGCAGTATTGGATGTTAATAGCCTTTTCCCTATCCAGGAGCCTGGAATTTCATCTGTTCCCAGGAGTTTTAATATCCTATCTATATTGTGTCAATCTTTTTCAGCACAGTCCTGGAGAGAAGCAGCCAGCCAGTGGGAAAGTATGATTAATACAGCTAAACAGCTTGACCAATGTCTTTATCAATGACATTAAACATTACTAGTAAAGAGGTGGGAGAGCTAGCAACAAGTTGGAAAAACTAAATTGTTTGTGGGGTCCTGATCACATACAGGTAGTCCTCCACTTACAGCCATTCCTTTAGTGACTGTTCTGAGTTACAGCGGCACGGGAAAAAAATGACTTACAGCCAATTCTCACACTTACAACCAGCACAACATTCCCCACTGTCGCATAATCAAAATTTGGGCACTTGGCAACCCGACATATAACGGCTGCAGCGTCTCGGGGGTCACATGATCGCCATTTGCAACCTTGCCAGCCGGCTTCCGACAAGCAAAGTCGGTGGGGAAGCCAGATTCGCTTAATGAAGTTCGATTCACTTAACAGTTGCAGTGATTTGCTTAATTGTGGCAAAAACTGGGTGAAGTTCACTCGAACAACCTCCTTGCTTAGCAACAGAAATTCCAGTCCCAATTGTCATGAGTCAGGGACTACTTGTATCCTTTTTAACCATTATTGTTGTTGTTGTTGTCGTTCGTCGCACAGTCACCAGTCGTTCAGATTGGACTGGGCATTTTTGTCCGCCTCTGGAGTCCTTCCCGAGGACCTGGGATAGGCAGATGTGGAAGTTTGGTGGTGTTAAAGGTATTGTCGCAGGATGTCAGCTGTTCTAAGTAAAGCTGCCTTCTACCATTGGCTGATAGGGATTTTGTCAACGCCGATGTTATCAGATACATTTGCTGCCCATTTAACTCTTCAAAGCAATTCCAAGCACTTTTCTCCATGCTGAATGTTTCTTTGTGGTGAAACTCCCCATGTTGGGAAAAGAAAGCATTGGTGAAGGATTTGACTGACTTGATAACAGTGAAACATGTAGTCTTATCAATACTTCATCCTGTTATCCCAAAGGTGGTTTTTCAAAAGGCTATTAGACTTTGTTTTTCCTTGAAGGTGCTTCGCTTCTCATCCAAGAAGCTTCTTCAGTTCTGACTGAATGGTGGATAGGGGAAGGATTTATATTCCTTGCAGACAGCTGGTCATTAAAATGCTGTTGAGGCCACTTGGAGGTTTATCTGTGCCCTCAGGGTCACCTGAATAGTGCAAATGGGTGTGGAACCTTCTTGGAACTGCTAAAAGGACTGTAGCCTCAATTACTCTGTAATAACCAGATGATTATAAGGAATATAAATTCTTCCATCCTCCACCATTCAGTCAGAACTGATGAAGCTTCTTGGATGAGAAGTGAAATGTCTTAAACAAGGATAAACACTTTTGGGACAGCCATGACCTGGATGACTGAGAATCGCCATAGACCTTCATCCTGGTAAATTTAATGAAGTCTTAATTGGCAGTCAAAAATGGCTACCCTCTGTGTTTAGGTATGGTAATAGTAGCATCTTCCATTTGGAATAGAAACACTGAAGCTCTGCCAAATGTAGGTGGCTGTTTAGAAGTCACGTTTGTCCAGCTATGTGCAGGAGATACAGCTGGACACACCTGTAGCATTGTCACCACTTACGGCTTTAAGTGACGGTGACGCGAGACCAAGTTACGTTTTCCGACTCATTCGTCTTGGACATCATGGCTTGTAAGACTGCTGAGACCTTACATATATTTTCTCCTTATAGGTGAAAAGGGAATTGGGAAAACAACTGGAAAAAAGCTTTGCTACAAAGGTTCAACTTTCCACCGCGTGGTAAAAAGCTTCATAATTCAAGGCGGAGACTTTAGCGAAGGTAGATGTAATGACCTATCCTTAATCCATCACTCCAAATTGGGGGAGGGGTTTCCACTGTAATTAAAAGGTTGCCCAAATTTATCAGTTGCCTGCAAAAAAATTATGAGATGTTTGAATATATTTAAATATCTACAGTAAATGATCCTTTTCTCTTTTCAGGAAAAATAAATAGCTTGGATATGCTGTTAGCTCTCATGTTACATTATAAGAATGGTAACTTTCAAGAATAGATTGTATTATGTCAGGAATTAAACCATTGGCCTTTTTTTTTTAGACATTCTAATTAGAGTTTTATGGAATGTAAAACCCTGCCCTCGTCTCACTCTCTAAAATTTAGCCTGAATATTGTTATTACCATTGTTGTTGTAATTATACTTAGCAGTTTGGTCATAAATTGTTGCGTGTACATTGAGCAACTTGCACATCCATATTATTACAGTTAGTCCTCGACGTACTGTAATGGAGCCTGCTCTTTACGGTTGTTAGTCCTGATGGCCATTAAGAGAAGCAAGTCACATGATCACCTCGCTTGAGACTCTTTCATCCCTTTTCCCAGTCCAGTCGTTAAAACAAATTGTGGGTCATTAAATGCAGCACAGACCTTGCCCCAGACCTCCCCCAGTGCCTGAAGCCCCCCCCCCTACCTTGCTTCCTGCTTCTTGGGGTCCCTTCCCACCCACTGAATCCCCTTATCCTGCATCTCTCATCCTGCGCTTATCTCTCAAAGATCTCCAGAGCTCAGATTAGGGAGGCAAAGCAAGCCACTCTGTTGATGAGCCATCCAGGAAATGACTCCCATTTTTCCAAATGACCACAATTCAGTGTCGCCTCTCGGAAAATGGTGTCCACTTCCAGGATCACACCACATAGCCCAGCAATAGAACAGTCTGCCCTCCTTCCTTGATCTGTGTTCCAGTGATTGCTGGAAGGAAGTAAGGAGGACAGTATGGGACCCACTGGGGTGGGAAACGGCCGCAAGGCTTGTGAGGATTCTGGCAACAAAGGTCGTCAAATGTGGCCAAACTCACTAAACAACTGTCTTACTTAGCGACAGAAATTTTAGGCTCAGTTGTGTTCGTAAGTCAAGGACTACCTGTGTACTCTGCTCTAGCAGGAAGATTTTCCCAAATGGAAATCTTAATACCTGGGGATGATGTTAGTAGAAGTTATCGGAGCCATGGTGGTGCAGTGGTTAGAATGCAGCACTGCAGGCTAATTCTGCCGACTGCCAGCAGTTTGGCAGTTCGAATCTCACCGGCTCAAGGTTGATTCAGCCTTCCATCCTTCCGAGGTTGGTAAAATGAGAACCCAGATTTCTGGGGGCAAATATGCTGACTCTGTAAACCTGTGGTTCTCAACTGTGGGTCGGGACCTCATTTGGGGTCAAACGACCATTTCACGGGGGTTGCCAAACAACGCAGTCCGCCATTTTTTTCCCCCTTAGCTGTGCTACTCCTTTTTATTCTATTGGCTTTTGAAAGCCAATAGAATAGACTCTCTTGAATAGAGTCTAATTCTATTGGCTTTCAAAAGCCAATAGGAATTGTCCAGGCTGTCTCTGCCCTGCTGAGCCCGCCAAAAGTCCCATTCTGCAAACGGTGCTGCACCAGTTGAGTAGTCCTCAACTTACGACCGGTTGAGTAGTCCTCAACTTACGACCGGTTGGGGGTCGCGGCATTAAAAAGGTTGAGAAACACTGCTGTAAACACTTAGAGAGGGCTGTAAACCACTAAGAAGGGGTATATAAATCTAAGTGCTATTGCTATTGCTAGCTAAAATACGTAAATAATCGGTCCTGATAGCTTAGTTTAGTCACCGCTACAAATATACAACATACTCTATGTGAGTTAAAATGTAAAGAGAACATCCCTAATGCTAAGAGTTGATGTGAGATCAAATCTTCATAGGAAGCAGCTATAAACTGTGAAGAAGGGGGAAAAAAGATTTTGAGAAGAGAAACGTAAGCGTTGTTTTCCCGGCCTGTTCCAAAAATCACAACTTAATTTTTCCGTTGGGAATAAATCTGACTTCTTCACAGATGCTGTTTTGTTTCTCTCTATTTGTGTAGTCCCTTAGAGACAAGATGAGGAGTTGTAGTTTTCTTGTGTTGGTTGCGCACATGCCGATGACGATGTTGTTTGTGCAGATAATCCAGTTAGGCCTTACAACCATTCACACTTGCAACAACCACAAAAACCCTTGTAAAATCAGGACGGTCATGTTGCCAAGGAACAGTGATATTTCAATAAACATCACGCAAGATGCAAGTTGAGTTATTTATTTCATAAATAACCAAAGGGTCTTGATCAGTGCAATTAATGAACCCCACAAAATGGTCGCATTATTTGGACTTCAGGTAGTCCTCGACTTATAACCATTCATTTAGTGATCATTTGAAGTTACAAGGGCACTGAATAGAGTGACTTAAGAACATTTTTCACACTTAATGACCGTTGCAGCATTCCTCATGGTCACATGACCATAATTCAGATGCTTGGCAATTGACTCGTGTTCAGGATGACTGCAGTGTCATGGGGTCTTGTGGTCACCTTTTGCGACCTTCTGACAAGCAAAGGTCAGTGGGAAGGTTAGGTTCAATTAACAACCATTACTCACTTAACAACTGCAGTGGTTCACTGAATTGTGGCAAGTAAGGTCATAAAATGGGGCAAAATCTTAACTGTCTTGCTTAGCAATGGAAATTTTAGGCTCATAAGTCGAGGACTTCCTGTGTTCAAAGCAATATTTCTATGAATAGTATGTAATTATTCCATCCTGATGAAAACAGGCAATTGAGTATTTTAAGCATAAATTGGTATATGCTTATTAATAAAATATTGTAGAACAATAAAAGAGGATAAAGTAAGTTCTCGACTTACCACTGGTCACTTAGCAAATTTTTGAAGTTACAACCTGCCTGAAAAGGGGGACTTACGGCCATATCCTAAGTTTCAGTGCTCAGCCTCCCCACAGTCATGTGATCGCAACACAACCCCATTTAGCAATAGCAGTAGACTTCTATACCGTTTCACAGTGCTTCATAGCCCTCTCTAAGCAGTTTACAGAGTCAGCCTATTACCCCCAACAATCTGAGTCCTCATTTTAGCGACCTTGGAAGGCTGAGTCAACCTTCAGATGGCCAGAATCGAACTCCAGGCTGTGGGCAGAGTTAGATTGCAATACTGCATTTTAATCACTGCGCCACTTCCAGTGGTCCAGCAGTCACATGATTGCAACAAACCCCATTTAAGGCAGTCTCCCACGGCCACAGCACTTTAGAACACTGTAAAATCAGGTCGGTCATGTGGCCAACTTGTTTTACAAGCGCCACAAAAACCAACCTTAATGGGCAAGCTCTGTGATGGTCATATGTTGAGGACTATTCATACCTGCTATCCGTATCTAAAACACACCTGTTAATCACCTGCACTCAACTACAGTTCTTGAAAAAAATGAGCCCCTTCTGATTTTGAGTTTTCCTCGAATGGAACCGTGTCTCTGCATTGCCCACCTAAGGAGCTCTTAAAAATGCCAGCGACAAACTCCCGTGCACCAGCCTCAGCCTTGTGCACATTATTAGCTTTGCGCTGTGAGAATTTGGGCAAGCATTAAACTCAACCTTGGATTAGTTTATAAATTGCATTCAAATCAAATTTCACACTTCAGGTAGTCCTCAACTTAACAACAGTTCATTTAGTGATCATTCAAAGTTACAAGACCATTGAAAAGAATGGCTTATGGCCATTTTTCCACACTTAATGGCCATTGCAGCATCCCCTTGGTCACTTAATCAAATTTGAACGCTTGGCAACTGACTTGTACTTATGATGGTTGCAGTATCCTGGGGTTATGTGATCAGTTTCTGTGACAAGCAAAGTCAGTGGGGAAGCCAGATTTACTTAACAACTGTGTTGCTAACTTAACAGCCACAGTAATTCGCTTAAGTGTGGCAAGAAAGGTCATAAAATGGAGCAAAACTCACTGAACAACTGTCTCGCTTAGCAACATAAATTTTGGGCTCCATTATGGTCATAAGTCAAGGACTACCTTAATTGTGACCTACCTGTAATTTAGAATTAGGAATCTCACAGAGCCCACTGCCAATTGCTCTCTGGTAAATGTGCTATGTGACTGGTTAAATTATTTAGTGCTATAGGTAGTCCCTGACTTACAACAGTTCATTTAGTGACTAAAGTTACAATATTGAAAAAAGTGACTTATGAACGTTCTTCACATGACTGTTGCAGCATCCCCATGGTCACATGATTAAAATTTGGATGCTTGGCAACTGATTTATGATGGATGCAGCATCCTGGGGTTCATGTGATCTCCTTTTGCGACCTTCTAACAAGCAAAGTTAATGAGGAACCAGATTCGCTTAGCAACCATGATGGTAACTTATCAGTTGCAGTGATTCACTTAACAACTGTGGCAAGAAAGGCCATTAAATGGGGCAATTGTCTCACTTTGCAACAGAAACTTTGGGCTCAGTTGTCCAAATCAAGGACTTCCTGTAATTGCTACTTACCTGTAATTCAGAATTGGGAATCTCTCAGAGCCCACTGCTGATTTCCTTCATGCTATGCAACTAATTAAATTATTCAGTGGTACTTTCCAGGATTTTACATTCTATCTTCTTAATGCTAGGTAACGGAAAAGGAGGCGAATCTATTTACGGAGGATACTTCAAAGGTAAACTTCAAGCAGTTACTTTAAACCTCGGTGGCTTCAGCTTTGCGAATTCCAATTTCAGCTTTTCATAACCAGGTTTATATAGCTCCTCTTGCATGAAAGTATAATATTGCATGGATATTCTCTGTGTGCATGAGAGTTTTAAAAATTCTTAAGACTGTAAATGTTAGCGTTAACAGTCAACGTTTATGGCGGCTATTGTAGTGGTTAAAACTTGACTTCAGCATGGAGGCTAGCCAACTTGATTCATGCCAACTCCTGTCTTCCTGCCTAAAACTGTCAACATATTCTTTTGTTTATAGAGAATGTGATCTTTTGCAAAATGAAAAGGTAAGACACAAAAGCTCAACACAAATTCAAACTTGTTCCCCTGCACCCTTCCTAATAAATCTTTGGTCAGCTGTTAATGAATTTGTGGCTGGGTCCGTGTAGCTTTGGAGAGCAAACCCAAAATAGTTTGAGAGGCCCAAGATGGCCTTCGGTTTGACCAAGACGTCCTTGGGATGTCACCTACTTGTCTTTCAACTCAGGTGCTCCCTTCCCTTTCCTTTTTGAGGTTTGTATGTGTCTTCTCAATTATTTGGGGCATGTTTTAAAAGTGTTGGGTTATAAATCAGATACCAAACAGTTTTTCTTGTTACGTTGATTCCAAATGTGTCCTGAACGTACTTAGGTAGAAAAGAATAACCTTTTCTAAATGAGCTGCTTTGTACAAAAGTTATATTCTGAAAGCACTTAATCATAGAATACAACAGCAATTATTCTTCTGTTTGCCAATCTGTATTGTAAAGGTTTTTGGTTCTTCTAAGATTTTGGATTAGGTAAGTACAACTGTCCTGGTACTGTACAATTACGCTTTTAATAAAATTCAGTTAAAGCTGCCACAATAGACTCGCAATCATCATCATAACAGCATGTTGTAAAATGAGATTTTTCCACTCTGAAACTGAAAAAAAACCCCATACATGGCATTCTTATTTTGTTGATGGCTGTTTGTAGTTGAGAATTACCTTAACAAACAAATCATAATTTAATTACCGATAGAATATTTGTAGCTCAGGGTTGAAATGTGGAGTCCTTTGTTGCTCTCTGAGCTGGATGGTTTTCTTGCAGACATTGCATGAAACATCATCAGCACTAGAAGGGAGCGGGCTTCTAGATTCTAGCACTCATTATGTTACCTAGTTGGGTCATAAGACGTCTACCAGAAAACCACCAAGCTCAAGAAAACACCAGGACCCCACATACTTAGTTTAATTGGTTTAGTGAAAGAGTCAGAGTGGTTTGTCTGTCCAGTTCAAAGAAAGAGGCTTTTTGGTGAGGGGGTTTCTGTGTTTTCTGATCCAACCCAATTTTATTGCATGCTAGTGATTCTTAGCCTATGGATTACTGGATAAATTACTGCTTTGGAATTGTTCTTACCTTATTGCTAGTTGATTAACGTTAAGGAGTATCTACACTAGTGTTTCTCAACTTTGGCAAATCTAAGACATGTGGACTTCAGCTGCCAGAATTCACCGTGGCTGGCTGAGGAATTCTGGGATTTGAAGTGCACACATCTTAAAAGGTGCCATGATTGAGAAGCACTGATCTACACAGATTTTTATTTAAACTCGAGGCATGTTGTCTTTTCACAAAGGAAATTTGAACTTCCTTGTTTCGTGGAAACATTCATTCAGATGCTAGTTCTTAACTGGTTAGTCGATGATTGAACCAAAGGAATATATGCTAGTTCCATGGAGCTGCATGACATCTGCTCATTCTGCAGCTAAAGGAAATGTGTTTTAATAGCAGGGCTGGAGAAATCTCTGCAGTGTTGGAAGGACAATCAGAGATTTCACAAAAGCGGTTTAAAAATGGTAAAGTGGCTTGTCATAATCAAAACTTCCAAATATTCTTGATTAAAGGCTGCTCAACGATTGCTTGTGTGCAAACTGTCTTTCTAATTAATGGCATAGATTGTTTCTGAGTTTTTACTGCACAACGGGATAATTCTTCATGACTGATACTTGTAAAGGGTCTAAATGCCAGGGGGAGGTTGATTTGTCTCTCTTTTGTCTCCTTTTTTGAAACAGATGAAAACTTTATTTTGAAACACGACCGAGCCTTTCTTTTGTCAATGGCAAACAGAGGGAAACATACGAATGGTTCCCAGTTTTTCATGTAAGTAAACTTCGTTTGAGAGTTGCATTTTCATAAAAACACACAAGCACTGTTCATAAGAAAGATGGTATTGCCAAAATATTTACACAAGGACAGGAATCAAAAGGCAGATTTCTGCTTTTCACCAACGATCTATTTGGTTTTATAGATACAGTGCTGGTTTTAAATTCACTAGCTTTGCATGGTCCCTGCCAGAATAGAAAGGCATTTTCTTAAATTATTTATTATTTATGTTCTCTTACAAAAATCTCTTGAGGCATATACATACATACATACATACATACATACATACATACATACATACATACATACATATATATTTTGTATCTCAGATTCTGAAAAGCTGAGTTTGGGCATTTTCTTTTGTGAAAGCAGTGAATTCATAGCTTTTATCTCCCATCAATTCCCAGACCCCTGAGAGGCGTGGAGACGATTCAGGTAGAAAGGTTACAGGCATTTTTTTTTTAAACACATCAAAGGGTGCAGATGTTGCGGTGGTACACAGCCCTCTTTTAGACATGCGCTAGTTCCAGGGAGAAAAACCTCTGAAGATGCTTGCAGTTGGTCTAATGGAAAATACAGGTGGTCCTCGACTTAACAACCATTCGTTCAGTGACTGTTTAAAGTTACAAAGGCGCCGAAAAAAATGACTTAAGACAGTTGTTCATATCTCTCCACAGTCACACGATCAAAATTCGGATGCTTGCCAACTGGTTCATATTTATGACGGTTGCAATGTCATGTGATCCCCTTTTGCGACCAGCAAAGTCAGTCGGGAAGCCAGATTCACTTAACGCCTGTGTTACTAAGTTAACAACTGCAGTGATTCACTTAACAACTGAGGCAAGAAAGGTCGAAAAATGGGCAAAATTCACCTGTCTTGCTTAGGAACGGAAATTTCAGGCTCACGTCTGGTCATAAGTTGAGAACTACCTGTATAGGCATCTACAGGTAGTCCTCAACTTACAACTGGTCGCTTAATGATGGTCCCTCCAGAGCTACTTACAATCCATTTTTGGAGTTATGACAGACACACACAAACACACATGCACATAAACACACACTGTGTCACATGAATGTATTTTGGATGCTTGGCAACTAGCTTCTTATGGCTGTTTGCAGCATTCCAAGGTCACATGACTACTGTTTTTGGCATTTGCTTCTGGTTTCTGGCAAAAATCACCCCTTGGGGAAAACAGACTTGCTTAATGACTGCACCATTTACTTAATAACCATTGTAAACAAAACTTTTGTAACTTCAGACTCAGTCATGTGATGCTTCAACCTACAACCCTCATCATTTACTACCATAATTCCAGGTTCAGATATGATTGTAATTCGAGGATTACCTGTATATGATAAAAGTGCTGTTGATTTTGACCAGCATTAATTTGCAGATAGCCAGCTACAATGTAATTTTAGCATTTGTTTTGAAGGTTCCATTATAACAGTGGGTTTCTGCTCTCATTTTTCGTCCTTTTGAAGGTCCCAAGTGGCAGAGTTAACATATGCTTGAGAAATGTGATTACAGAATCCATTCCAGATTCTTAATTTTGTTAGCAAGAGGCACCTGTCAAAGTGAAATTAACCTGCTGTACTCCAAGTGGTTTTGCTGAGTTTTATTAGAATCTGTGGTTCAATATTCTTTTCCTGTCTTCCACATTTATTCCAGAATTACAAAAACACAAGCTGTATTCGTTTCATCTTGTGTTTGAGACAAGACAACTTGGATTTTTGCTATTTGATGAATTTAGGATCTTAACTGGTTTCAAGCATGTTTACTAGAATTACAGTCCTAGTTGCCATCTTTCTTGATAAGAATGAATAGTGCTTTGTCACCTTCTTAAAGGGATCACTGCTCTGGAAGATTAAATTGAAAAGAGGTCTCTGCCATTATTGAATAATGTACAGATAAGAGGCGTATTTAACTTGCTTCCTAAGGAATGTCCCCAAAATGAAAAATCAATATAAAATTGGAAATACCGTATTTTCTGGCGTATAAGACGACTCGGCGTATAAGACGACCCCTGACTTCGGAGAAGATTTGCGTGGTTTAGAAAGTCGTCTTATACGCCGGAAAATACGGTAACTTTTACCTCATTGGGAAGGTAATGCAGGTTTATAGAGATTTCTAGTTTGGCAGACAGATGGCTTCCCTTATGCTTGAGATTGGCTTGAATTAGACGTATAGTAGAAAATAAAAATAATTTGTTTGCTCTTCCATACTTTTTTCCAATTTTCAAGCTTATCTGAACTAACAAATATTTGAACTGCTAACACATTGATTATGAAGCTGCTTGTGGGCTCTAAAGTTTATTTAATAATACATGGCAATATTTACAAGAGCACTTGATTAATACAGCTGTTTATTAAGTTTTTATGGCTCCTGTCTCCCTTACAACGTAACTCTGGACTGCTTACAATTTAGAAAACTAATAAAAATAATTAAAACATTAAACATGTTGAAATTTATAACTTACAGGCCCACTTTTAGTAATAAAAGGTGGTGCCAACAACTTACCCTATGGTATATCTTTAAATCCTATGCAATCCTACTTAAAATAAGTTTAACATTCATTGTACATTACCTTGAGTTCATGGAAGGTAGATATGCCCTCTTTAATTATTATAATTATAATTGTTGTTACAGTTAGTTATTTGGTGGAAGATTAAATAAGTGAAAACACAGCTGATATAGGATAATCTTGTTTTGCCATGACAGACTTTTAAGTTGCATTCAAAGGCAAATAAGTGCAATATTACAGGTTCAATAAGTTTGCAGACAGGTTTTTTTGCATAAAAGAAAGATACAGCTTGTATGCCTCGCTGGTGGTGGGGTATTCTCAGCCTTGCAAAGTACACTTAGTCCTTGACTTACAACCATTCATTTAGTGGCCATTCAAAGTTACAATGATACTGTAAAAAGTGACTGTTTTTAAACTTAATGACCATTGCAGCATCCCCCTAGTCACATGATTAGAATTTGGACTTTTGGCAACTGGCATGTACTTATGACGGTTGCAGTGTCCCAAAGTCATCTGACATCCCTTTTGCAACCTTCTGACAAGCAAAGCCAATGGGGAAAGCCAGATTCACTTAATAACCGTGATAACTTAACAACTGTAGTGATTTGCTTAGTAACTGGCAAGAAAGGTTATAAAATGGGGAACAACTCATTTAACAACCTCCTTGCTTAGCAAAAAAACATTGGGAAGGTCCCATTGTAATAATAAGTCTACCTATAAGGACTGTAAACTGTTTATTAGTGGCTGAAATTTAAAAAGCCAGCTAGGTGTCCACCCTACTTAGCAACATCTTGAGGTGTACCAAGACCTTTCATAACAAAGAGATTAAACAATATTGCAAAGAAAAATCAGTATTTCTGCTTGTGGATTAAACCCTTAGGATGCTGGCTGCCAATCTACAAAACCCATTGAGAAGCAATAAAGTTTGAAATAAAGTATAATGTAGAAATAAGTTAGGATACAGTGCAGTGCTCAGAAGCCAGGAAAATAGCACATAGAAAAGTGATGGCAGAACAAAAGACTCAGTGATTCATCAAGTTTTTCCTTTGAGGTTTTTTTGTGGTTTTTGTTGCACTTTTAACTTTATGTCTTTACTTTAAAATTATATTTATTTTTATTTAATTTTTGTCGGATGATGGACACGTATTTATCTCAAGCATGTTAAAACTCAGTTACTGGTGATAAAATAGAGGATGATAACAGTTTAGAAGACAGTGTTTTTTCTGCTGCTGCCATTTCTCTCTCTCTGCCCCCACCCTCAGCACACCCAAATATTAACATTCGTATTGCAAACTGTGGTTGGTTGAAATGCCCCCTTGAATACATGGTTGACCCTTTCTTTTTTAGTTGTAAATATTTTGGAACCTTTTTTCATCTTTCTTCAATGTGACCAGGAAGGATGGGGTGGGGGAGAGAGAGAGATGAGGTTTTTGATTATTCTACCTATGATATTTAAGGTTTTCTTCAGCTTTGTTATTTTTCTGTTTTAAGTTCTGGGGGAAAATTCTAAAAAAAAATAATGATGGAATTCAAAAGTTATTGAACTGCACGGGATTATTCAATTTTTGAAAAAGTTGCTGCAAAAAAAGTATTCATAACAACTTTAACCTGAATTTTGTGTCGTAAATTGTTTCTTAATAAGTATAAACCCTGCTGATAAGTACAAACAAAACATGAATCAAGCTGTTGAAGCATTCTGCATTCAAGCCAAGCTAGGCCTGTGTAAATGAGAGCTTTTCACTTAACTAATCCCAGTGATTATCCTGATTTGTGAAAAGAATGGTAACAACTCCCCCCCCCCCGTTTATTATAACCATATGGTTTCTGATGTCACTAGCATTTATACGTGGGTTGAAAGCTTTACGATACTGGTTTTCTGGCCTGTTACAAGCCAAAGCATCCCCAGATTAATCCTGCCTGCTTCGCAGGGCTTATTCCTGACTGTGCTGGAAACCCAAATAATCCTTCCCTTTAATCATATTTATGTAGAGTTTTGATTTGTGGAAGGGCATTTTAAAATGATACACATCCCTGCTGAGGATGGGCTTCTGTGTTTTTACAGTCTTTATAAACAGTCTTTATAATCCTTTGAGTACAGGTAGCCCTCGACTTAACCGGTCATTTAGTTGCTGTTGAAATTAACAACAGCACTGAAAAAAAGTGGCTTAGGACTGTTTTTCACACTTACGACCATTGCAGCATCCCCATGGTCATATGATCAGAATTCAGACACTTGGCAACGGACTTGTACTTTTGACGGTTGCAGAGTCCTGGGGAGGGGAATGTCATGTGAGCTTCATTTGCAACCTTCTGACAAGTAAAGTCAATGGGGGAAGCCAGATTCACTTAACAACTGTGTGACTAACTTAATGCTTAACCACTGTGGGAAGAAAGTTGTAAAATGGGGCAAAAATCACTTAACACAACTGTCTTTCTTAGCAACAGAAATGTTGGGCTCAATTGTGATCATAAGTCGAGGGCTACCTATAACCTTTTTGTAACCCAAACCACTCAAGTAACTTTCCCACGTGTCGTCGTAACTTGGGTGGCGGAAACTGAGTCTAGGCAAAAGATAAATGACTTGTCGGAAAGAGAATTTTAACCGAGTCTATTTTTCATAGTGACTCTTCACTATTTCTACTGGTATAAAAATCCTCAGCCTTAAACAAAGTTTAGAGCCCTATTTTTTTTTAAAAAAAATAAAACGTGACCTTGGTTTTGCAAACACATAGAGAATTGCATTCAGCTGAAACGCAAAAAAAAAAAAAAAGTACTTAAAAGCTGTATTAAACATAGTCTCAAGTTTGTTTGGAATTGTACTACAATTTATTTCTTGCCATTTTTGTGTAAAATTTACAGAAACAGTGTTACATCGTGCGCTCCAAAGGTAATGTCTCATTCCTCTAAGGCTGTGTTCTTTCTTTTTCTCTTTCTTTCTTTCTTTCCTTCTTTCTCTCTCTCCCTTCTTCCCCTCCTTTTCATTTTCTTCTTTCTGTCTTTCTTGTCTTTTTTCTGATCATATGTAAATTGAATCTTGTGGTGTTCTCCCTGGGGTTGAGAAAGAGAGAAACTTCTTTATAGCAACCCCCCTTTTTTAAGCTTTATTTCAGGATAAACCATGCAAAAATTCTCACTAGTTGTAGCAGTAAATATTTTCAGTTCCATCCCAAACTTTTGAACTAGAATTTTTTTCAGTCATTTTTCTCTTCGCGGGGGAAAAAAATGACTTTGAAAAATCAAAGAATACCTAGAACAGTAATAGTTGATATGTTTTTTCTTCAATCTTGCGAACTATTATCAAGAGGAAGAAATGGTTATTTAAAATGATCGTATTGTTTTATATCTACCAGTTTAAATAGCATTCATATTTTGAAATCGGTATTTCAGTAATATTAAATGCAGAGTTTTGAGTAATTGTTTTATACCTACCAGTTTAAATAACATTCATATTTTGAAATCAGTATTTCAATAGTGTTAAATTCAAAAATTTGAGCTTATAACACACTTCCATTTTGGAGGAAGACCAATAGGTAAGGCATCGTTAAGAATTCTTGCTATTAATGCTGTTCAAATGTTTTTTTTTCCTTCCTGTTTTTTTTTGAAAATACTTAAGTGTGTTTGAAAGACCCAAAGTATCTTTATGATGAAAACTAATAAAAATATTTCAAAATTGTTGATGGATACTTTCATTTAGAACTGAGGATATTACACTGACTCTCAATCTAACAATTAATCTCTTGGTATTTTTTTCTAATTCAGGATTTCAATTCAGTCACTTTGGTTGCAGTTTAAACTACACAATTCTGTTCTTGTCCTCATTAGATTCAGTTGTTTTATAGAGAGAGGAACTGGGGCTGAGTGAGCCTGCCAAGATCATCCCTTTATATTTGGGTCAGAAATTACATTTGAGCTTATAGACCTCAATTACAAATATTTAATTTATATCCATATATTTAATTCCCCTATTTAATTCATACATATGAAATTTACTTCAATATAGTCTATGCAATTAGACCCAGCCATAGCAATAACACATTTAATGGCCACTTGCTAGCAAGGTAATGCTTAATACTTCTGCTTCACATTTTTGAATATTTTTTTAGTGTTTGGAACACATAAACATGCGCTAATGATCTCTCTTCTGTATGCTTGTTTCTTTGCAAAGGTAAAGCTATTCCAATAGAATAATAGTGCTTAATCTTTTAGACCACTTAGGGAAGAAAGCCCGCTTGTCTCTCAATCCTAGCTTCGCACCCGACAGATTTTTCTGTCCTCACTTTGCAAAAAGGAACAACAATAATAAGAATAATTCACATTTCCGCTTCCTAAATTGAAAGCTCCGTGTTCTTTATTCATTTTAGAGCAAAAGAGCCGGGCAATTGCATGCTAATCCTTGCATGTTTTTCTGACTCTCTCAAGGTTTGAGAGCAGATGGGTTAGACAGAATAACAGAGTTAGAAAAAGGTCTTCAACCCCCCCCCCCCTCGCTTAAGCAGGAAACCCTATTATCACTGGAGACAAAGGATTGTAGAGATCGCCCTGCCCATGTTGATCTGATCAGCAAATAATTCTGTTAACTATTCTAGCTTTGCAGAAAGAAGTAGTGGGTAAGTGACCCTATTGACTGCAGGCCCTGGAACAACGTCCCCCTTGGGGGCAGGGTGGTGGGCTTCCAAAGCAGCCTTAATTTTTGAGAGACAAAAAAATGAGACCCGATCAACAGTGTTCACAGTATTTCCAGCCAAAAAGATCAGTGATTGTAGCTGACGAGACTCATGTCAAGAGTATTTGGAGGATAATCGCCCAAGGGCATATTCTGCATGCCTTTCTCACCAAGCACATCTCAAACAGCACAGGTAGTCCTCGACTTACGACCGGTTGCTTAGCAACTGTTCAAAGTAGTGACAGATCCCAAAAAAGCACTTGCGATCCAGATTCCACGTCCTGACAGCTGCCTCCCCTTCACAGTCAGGTGATCATATTTGCAGCGCTTAGCAACTGGCTCCGTTTACTGGGTCAATGACATGACCGTGATTTATATTTCTGGGTGGAAACTGGTGTTTCTGTCTGATATCGGGAAAAAAAAAATGGGCGTTGCAGACAAGGGATTCACTTAACAAGCGCCGCAAAAAAAATAAATAATGTAAATCGGGTCAGCCATTGATAACCTGCTTAATGACCATCATGATTTACGACCATAATTACCACGTAACTCGACTACCTGTACTGATAATCCTCGACTTAACAACAGTTTATTTGGTGACCTTTAGTGAAGTTACAGCACCACCGGAAAAAGTGACTTAGGACCTTTTTTTTCACACTTAAGGCTATTGCAGCATCTCCAGGGTCACGTGATCAAAATTCAGACTCTTGGCAGCTGATCCATATTTATGATGATTGCAGTCATGTGATCCCCTTTTGCAGTCTTCTGACGAGCAAAGTCAATGGGAAAGTCAGATTCACCTCTCCAAGTGACTGACTTAACAACTGCAGTGATTCACTTAAGAGCTGTAGCAAGAAAGGTCCTAAAATGGGGCAAAACTCACTTAGCAAGTATCCCACTTAGCAACCAAATTGTTAGGCTCAGTTGCGATCATAATCAAGGACTACCTGTACTTGGGATATCATGTACACTCTATTCCCATTAGACTGCCCTCTAGTTAAAATGATCCAGGGAACAGCTGCTGAGTTCTTAGGCTCAAAATAGAAAATGATTGATACCCTGTTTGGAAAGAATGGAAATTCAATAATTTTGGATTGCTTCTTTGTCCGTCGCTCTTCCCCCCCCCCAAAGATAGCTGTGGCAAAAAAATAAAGACTATTTAAACATTTGCAAAAGTATCTCAGGATGATATATTGCTTTATAGCAGTGGTTCTCAACCTGTGGGTCGGGACTCCATTTGGGGTCGAACGACCATTTCATGGGGGTCACCAAACAACGCAGTCCGCCATTTTTTTCCCCCTTTCTTTAGCTGTGCTACTCCCTTTTATTCTATTGGCTTTTGAAAGCCAATAGAAGAGACTCTCTTGAATAGAGTCTAATTCTATTGGCTTTCAAAAGCCAATAGGAATTGTCCAGGCTGTCTCTGCCCTGCTGAGCCCGCCAAAAGTCCCATTCTGCAAACGGTTCTGCACCAGTTGAGTAGTCCTCGACTTACGACCGGTTGAGTAGTCCTCGACTTACGACCGGTTGGGGGTCGCGGCATTAAAAAGGTTGAGAACCACTGCTTTATAGCTTTATAGCTAGTTAATACAGAGGCATTTCCCAGGGTAACTTCAAGAAATACTTCCTGATAATTTAGTTGGTAGCCACCATGTTGTATTTGAAAACAATTCCTTTCCCTAACAAAATGCAGATTATTTTCAAAGGCCACTAATTCCTCTCTGCAGGTTGTCAATAGATACTGGGCTGTCCTTTTTTTAAAAAAAGGTTCCTTGTATTTTAGCATAGAGAGTAAAATCACAGGCTCTTAAAGCCATAACCACCATACATGTTATTTCAAGTAAATCTGCAATCAATTTGATGGCATTTATTTCTCAGCAGATAAGTGTACAATTACAGGCTTTGCCATAAGCTTAACGTTTTGACCTTGTTTGGGATTGCAGTTTAACATCATCCCCCACCCACCCACTCAATCAAAGGATGAGCAGTGGCTTTATATTCTTGAAACACAGACCTCAAAAAAGGCATAAAAACCTCTTTATTCTAAAGGTTGACGGTCCATCAATTGGAATGCTAATTTTCCAAAGCTGTAAATGGTTTCTTGTAGATTTGTAGACTTAGAAAAATAACTGGGGGACAAGGTGGTTTGAAACTATCGTGTATTTGAGTGCCTAATATATTTTAAAGAAGGTGGTTTTGTGCAGTATCAGACATATTAGCAGCCTCTAATTTATTCTGTACTGTTGCCAAGATCCAGATTGTAATTTGTGAATAGTTCAAATGTGAATGAATCCATGATAGTTTGTTCAGTTGGTAAAATAGAGACAGTATCTATACCGTAGGCATTTAATTTCAGTCAAAAATGAAGTTCAAGTGTAGTGTTATATTGTAGTGTGTGACAAGTGATATATTTCCTGAGTTTAGTACCAATAAGTTTATCTATTAAATTAACTATGTTTTTTCTTCCCTTACTTTTTTTTACCTGCCATTCTGCCTTTTATCTCCTCATCTGAAAACCTGATTTCCTTTCCCCCCAACAATAAACGTCTTTTGTATGTTGATGCCGAACAGAACTACGAAGCCTGCTCCTCACCTTGATAGGTAAGACCCCCATATTCTTTCCCGTTAGGAGCTTTGCATTGGATTTAACTTAGAAAAACTAGATTGCTTTCAACCTGAGCTTTTTGCCATCCTATCACAAATTTATGGCAATATTGTCCCGAGGAGTCCTGGAGAGAAAAACAAATTGAGGAAAACTCTTCTATCCAAAAAGAGGTAGGTTGGTCTAGTGCAAGGGTAGGCAATCTTGGCTCTTTTATGACTTGTGGACTTCAATACCCAGAATTCCTGATCCAGTCATTCTGACTCAGGAATTCTGGGAGTTGAAGTCCACAAGTCATAGTGGTTAAGGCACCTTGCTAAAAGCCAAGAGACTGTGAGTTCAAGTCCTGTGTTAGCCATGAAAGCCAGCTGGGCGACTTTGGGCCAATCACCACGAGAGGGTGAGTAACAACAACAACAACAACAACAATAATAATAAAGTTGGAAGGGATCTTGGAGGTCATCAAGTCCAACCCCCTGCTCAGGCAGGTAACCCTATACCATTTTGGATAAATGGCTGTCCAGTTTCTTCTTAAAAATTTCCAGTGTTGGAGCATTCACCGCTTCTGGAGACAGGTTGTTCCACTGGTTAATTGTTCTAACTGTCAGGAAGTTTCTCCTTAGTTCTAGGTTGCTTCTCTCCTTGATTAGTTTCCATCTGTTGCTTCTTGTCTTGCCTTCTGGTGCTTTGGAGAATAGCTTGACTCCCTCTTCTTTGGGGGAGCCCCTGAGATATTGGAAGACTGCTATCATGTCATCCCTAGTCCTTCTCTTCATTAAACTAGACATACCCAATTCCAGCAGCCTTTCCTTATATGCTTTAGCCTCCAGTCCCCTAATCATCTTTGTTGCTCTTCTCTGTGCTCTTTCTAGAGTCTCAACATCTTTTTTATATCGTGGTGGCCAAAACTGGATGGAGTATTCCAAGTGTGGCCTTATCAAGGCCTTGTAAAGTGGTATTAATACTTCATGTGATCTTGATTCTATCCCTCTGTTAATGTAGCCCAGCACTGTGTTAGCCTTTTTGGCAGCTGCAGCACACGGCTGGCTCATATTTAAGTGATTTGGCGCAGCAGTTATAGTGCAGTACTGCAGGCCACTTTAGCTGACTGTGTTCAGCAGGTCAGCGGTTCAAATCTCACCGGCTCAAGGTTGACTCAGCCTTCCATCCTTCCGGGGTAGGTAAAGTGAGGACCCAGATTGTTGGGGGCAATGTAAAATATATATATACATTGCTTACTGGTGTACACCGCTTAGAGAGTGCTTGCACTTAAAGCGGTATATAAGTCTCATAAATAAAATAAATAAATAAATAAAATTGGCACCTGGCAGGTGGTAAGTGACTATCCTAGAAAGTGGTAGTGGGTGAGGGGAATGAGCTGAGAGATGACTGGAGCTGCAGGGCTGTCAAGGCTCAGTGGAAGTGCCGGGATCAGTGCCAGGATCCAGCTGGAGTTGGGCGCTGATCCTGGTGCTTCTGCTGAGCCCTGAAGAAGCACCAATCAGCTGGAATGTTGCAGCATCTCCAGGTCTTGTGATTTACATTCAGATGCTTGGCAACTGATTCATATTTATGACGGTCACAGTGTCCCAAGGTCATGTAAGTAACCAAAACCTGCTGTAACCATCCAGCAGATGGGAGGAATAAAATCCAAATACCCCCCCCCACTCCACCCCCGTTGCCAATCCTCAACAAAAATGCTCACAACAGTAAAAACCTTGGACAGGAGGAAGAGCGCCACCGGGTGGGCGGGCAGGTGTCTTGTTCGGCTGTGGCTTGGAGAGTACTTTTTTCAATGCCATTGTAACTTCAAACAATCACTAAGTGAACTGTTTTAAGTCGAGGACTACCTGTACTTTATCACTTTTTTCTGGGTCTTTTTTTTTTTTTTTTTGGGTCATCAAGTTTTTGACACCTTGCTAGGCGACTAGTGGTACTCGGATATTGCCATATCCTAAAAGTGGTACAATAGGTGAAAGGTTGAAAAGCCCTGCACTAGGACTCTGAAATCCCTCTCACAGTTACTATTATTGAGCAAGGTACCCCCTATACTATACCTGTACATTTGGTTTTTCTTGCCTAGATATAGAACCTTACTTTTTTCACCACTGAATTTCATTTTGTTAGATAGCGCCCAGTGTTCAAGTCTGTTCAGATCTTCCTGTATCCTAAGCCTGTCTTCTGGAGCATGAAAGCCAGTTGGGTGACTTTGGGCCAATCTCTCTCTCTCAGCCCAACCTACCTCACAGGGTGGCTGTTGGGAAAATAGGAGGAGTTAGGAGTATTAAGGATGTTTGCTAGCTTGAGTTATTTATAAAAATAATAAAGATGAGACAGAAATAAACGATAATGAGAAAGGTGGAGGAACAAGACTCATAATCACATGGTGTGGATCTAAAATCTCCTTTGGGGGTGATGCTTTCGTTGTAAAAAATAATAAAGCTGGGATATAAATAAATAACCTTAATAAACTAATATTGATAATCATTGGGTTCTTTCTTTGGGATTGATTGGGTTTATGAATTGCCTCACTATGAGGGCTCTGTTTCAAACTATGACATCCGTAGCCCTAAGGACAAATAAACATTTAAACATTTAATCTAATTTAATATCCTTCATTTCTAAGTTTGCAGGAATACAATTATTTAAACCCACCCTTTCCATCAATTATCCATTGTTTCAGTCATCCCAACTCCAGCAAGGGTAATGGAAAGAATTCCTCTTTCCTTCCTGCCTTCTGCTTCACTGATTTATTTTCTCTTTAAAAGGGAAAAGGATTTTTTTTTAAAAAAGAAAAAAGAAAAAATTAAACCTGGGTGAATCACTATCACTAGATTGGGAGAGCGGTCTTTACCACCTTACTTTTTCTGTCTCCCCGTGGAGAGCCGGTTGTATGTGTTGTAAACTACAGAGAAAGCTGGTTTGTTTGTTTGTTTGTTTGGGCAAGGCTTCATAAGTACCACAAATAAGGAAAATCAACCTGAGGGAGTTAATTTCATCCCCAGCAAAAGTAGGTTATGGTGGGGGCTAAATGTACCGTATATGCCGGCGTATTAGGCGACCCGGCGTATAAGACGACCCCCGTCTTTATAGCCGGGCCGCATTCCTAGAATGTCATCTTATACGCCGGAAACTACCAGTATTTCCGGCGTATAAGACGACTCGGCATATAAGACGATCCCCATCTTTGGCGCCGATTTCAGCGCTCGCGGAAGTCTTATACGCCGGCATTTACGGTAGTTTCCTCCGTTTGACTTAAGGTGCTCCTTTGGACAATTAAAGGAGTCCTTGACTTAACAGCCATTCATTTAATGACCATTGGAAATTACAACAGCACTGGAAAAAGTGATTTGTGACCGTTTTTCACACTTAAAACCATTGCAGCATCCCCATGGTCATGTGATCAAAATTTGGCCACTTGGCAACTGACTCCTATTTATGACATTTGTAGCGTCCCGGGGTCACGTGATCTCCTTTGGCCACATTCTGACGAGCAAAGTCAGTGGAGTAGCCAGATTCACTTAACAACCGTGTTACCAGCTTCCGTGATTCATTTAACAACTGTGGCAAGACAGGTTGTAAAATGGGGCAACTCTCACTTGACCTCTCTCTGGCATAGCAATGTTAATTTGGGGCTCAATTGTGGTGTGATATTTGGGGTCTCAATTTCTCTGAAACCAGCTTAACCCGTCTTGCTTAGCAACAGACATTATGGGCCTCTATTGTGGTCATAAGTCAAGGACTACCTGTGGATGGTTGTAGGAAACCCACACAATACACCCAGATAAGAATTCAGCATGAACACAACCAGCCAAGTTCTCCCCTTTTGTACAGTCTAGTACACCTTTGGCATTTTCTGTTTTTGTAGCGTCCATGTCGTCTTTGGACTTGTCATTTCTGGTTTTGAAGTTATAGAACAAATCGAAAATCTGAAAACTGATTCTGCCAGTAGGCCATATGCCGACGTGCGCGTCATTGACTGTGGGGTCCTGGTTACCAAATCGGCAAAGAATGGTAAGCTTTTCTTTCAAGGGAGATATACTTCACGACCAAAAGGATCCTAGAATCTCTGCAAGATTGCACCTGGAAACCCCTTTCTGAAACTCTTGGGAGGATGTGTACATTGGATAATATTGTCATCTTCACTCTGGCCAGATTCTGCTGTGACCCTAAGGAAGGTTTTATTGGATGCTGAGTTCTGAATAAAAAAAAAAGAGAGAGCAGAATATTTACTTACAAATAAAGCCGTGTGTAAATCTGTTCAATACCTATTATATGAAATTATTAATTGGAGATAATATTGGTAGCACAGAATTGAACTGTGGGGTCCACGGTGCTCTCTGAGCTTGGTGGTTTTCTTGCAGATGTTTCATGACTCAACTAGGGAACATCTTCAGTCGTCTCTCCCTTCTAACACTGATGATGTTTCATGAAACATCTCTACGAAAACAGCCATGGTCAGAGAGCACTAAGGACCTCTCAGTCTTCCCCCTACTTCTCTACCAACCATGCTCCTTTCTAGCACTGATTGTTTTATCTAGTTTGGTAATAAAATATCTCCAAGGAAACAACCAAGCTCAGAGCACCAAGGATTCTACTATAATCCTCTTGTCCACACACCCCACTCCCTCCTAGTACCAAAGATGTTACCCAGTTGGGTCATGAAATGTCTGCAAGAAAACAATTAAGTTCAGAAAGTACCAAGTCGTCGTCGTCCTCCTCCTCCTCTTCCTCCTCCTCCTCCTCCCAAACCCCACTCTTTTTAGCATTGATGGTGTTACCTAGCTGGATAATGAAATGTCTGCAAAGCTGCCAAGCTCAGAAAGCACCCCCTGAACTATAGATATTTTCCCTTATTGATAACATGTACTGTATGTAAATGTGACCCCAAAATAGCGACCTGTAATTGTTAACTATATTCCTGACAATTGTCAATCCTTGTGATTTCCTAAAGATTATTATAAACGTGTTTTTTTCCTTCCTAAGTGTTGGAGAAGAAGCGGAAAGCATGGAGTCACTCAGAAGCTTCCAATAGCTCCTCCAGCAGCACATCCTCATCATCGGAATCTTCTTCCGACAGCGAATATGAAAATGAGCGAACCAGAAGAAGGAAGAGGAAGAGGAGGAACAAAGCTAAACAGTCCAGGAAACGAAGACGGGAAGAGAGGAAAAAAGAGGAAACAAAAAACAAACACAGGTCAGTCTTGTGGAGATTCTCAGTCATCCAGGTCACAGTTGTCCCAAAGGTGCTTTTTTTTTCAAAAAGCAACTGGACTTTGTTTTTGCTTGAAGATGTTTTGCTTCCCATCCAGGAAGCTTCTTTAGTTCTGACTAATGGAAGGATTTATATTCCTTTAACTAGATGTTAGCACTCTCTCTCTGAGAGCCATTGAGTCCACTTGGAGATTATCTGTGCCTGAATAGGCAAATGGGTGTGGAGCCTTCTTGAAACTGCTGAAAGGACTGTGTTGTAGACTAGGTATAGCTGATGTCATATCCCTCCCCCTCTGTTGAGAGAGGCCAGTTTTGACCTAGATGGCCTCTTTGACCCCTTTTTCAAACCAGCGGTCCCCTCTGTCCAGAATGTGGACTTGCTGTCTTCGAAAGAGCGGCCTTCGTCTTTCAAATGCAGATGGACTGCTGAATCTGGTCCCGATGGGTTTGCTCTCCTATGTTTGTGCCAGGCATTTGTGAAGTGGTGGTTGTGTTTCCCCATTGTACAGATCTGCACATGACTCACTGCACTGTACTGCATATGCCACATTGCTCAGATTGTCTGGGTGTTTTATCCTTGGGGTGGACAAGCTTCTGCTTTAGTGTATTCTTCGGTCTGAAGTGTATATGTATTTAATGTACACAGTAAAGTATATGTAAATACAGGTCAGGCCTAGAAAAGTGCTGAATAATGGCAGCAAAACAAATACCTTTTTTTTTTAAAAAAAAAAAAAGCTTAAAAAATAAGCCTTTTAGAGCCTAGCGATTTCCATCTCTGCATCTTTGGTCACCACGATGTAAAAAAGATGTTGAGACTCTAGAAAGAGTACAGAAAAGAGCAACAAAGATGATTAGGGGACTGGAGGCTAAAACATATAAGGAACGGTTGCTGGAATTGGGTATGTCTAGTTTAACGAAGAGAAGGACAAGGGGGGACAGAACAGCAGTATTCCAATATCTCATGGGCTGCCATAAAGAAGAGGGAGTCAAGCTATTCTCCAAAGCGCCTGAAGGCAGGACAAGAAGCAACGGATGGAAACTGATCAAAGAGAGAAGCAACCTAGAACTAAGGAGAAACTTCCTGACAGTGAGAACAATTAATCAGTGGAACCACCTGCCTCCAGAAGCAGTAAATGCTCCAACACTGGAAGTTTTTAAGAAGAGACTGGACAAACATTTGTCCGAAATGGTGTAGGGTTTCCTCCCTGAGCAGGGGGTTGGACTAGATGACCTCCAAGATCCCTTCCAACTTTACTACTATTACTATTACTATCATGTCAGAATATAACATCTTGAATTCTCAGCGAGCGTAAAACTGGGGATTCTAAAACTACATTTAAAGATATTGGCTATGAACAGATAGTCCTCAATTTACAATCCTAACTGAGCTGGGAATTATGGTTGTAAGTCATGGTAGTTGTTAAGTGGGCCAGTACGTGGTTTTATGACCGTTTTTGCAGCAGTTGTTCAGCAAACAGTATAGTCGTTAAACAAATACTGCAGTAGTTAAACAATTGCATTTGAGCCGTTGAGATTTTTTTTGGGTGGAAATCAGAAGATACAGGTAGTCCTTTACTTACAACCACAATTGAACCCAAAATTTTCCTTGCCAAGCGAGACAGTGGTTAAGTGAGTTTTGCCCCATTTTACAACCTTTCTTGCCACTGTTGTTAAGTGAATCATGGAAGTTTTTAAGTTTGTAACATGGTTGTTAAGTGAATCTGGCTTCCCCATTGACTTTGCTTGTTAGAAAGTTGCAAAAGGGGATCACGTGACTCCGGGACATTATGAATCAGTTGCCAAGCATCTGAATTTTGATCGCCTGATCTGCAATAGTTCTAAGTGTGGAAAACGATCCTAAGTCATGTTTTTCAGTGCTGTTATAACTTTGAATGGTCATTAAATGAATGGTTGTAAGTCAAGGACTACCTGTAAGTGTTAGAAATTGGCAAAAAAATGCCCCAAATTGTGATCAGTCAACTGGGAGATTGCAAATGGCCGTAAAAGTTGCCAAGATCCCAAAATTTGATCACATGTTAATTGGGGAGGAGTGCAGCTGTTGTAACTTCAGAGATGTGTTATAAGTACCTTGGGGGCAGGCATCCTGATTAAGCAACTGGTTGTTAAGTGAGAAAAGCCTGTATGTTTCCATGGATGTTATTAGAGTCCGTAAAGTTCTATTTTTATTGTCCCTGAGGAATGGCGCTGAACAGCGAACAATTAAACCTTGATAGCAGATAAAACAACTTCAATTATTGAAAAAGGATTGAGTTAGATGTACTTTTACAAAGGCAAGGTGTGGCTTGCTTATTTACATTTGTATCAAACCTGGAGAAGTTGTGCAAGTTAATTTACTTCAGGAGATACGCATTTCCCTGCTGATCATTTTGCTTGCCTTTTGAAACGGGTGCAAATTAGCTCCGGTGGTCCTAAATCGCTGTCTTTCCTTCTAGCCATTCCGACCGAAGCGAAACAAACGAAAAATCAGCAGACCTGAGTGTGAAAAGGGATAAACCAGTCGTCCGTCCGGAAGAAATTCCTCCCGTGCCGGAAAACAGATTCCTGCTTAGAAGAGACGCACCCATTATAAATACAGAGCCAGATCTGTATGCATTGCGCTTATTTTTAATTCTTTGTGCCTTGTTTTGTAACCTAAGTGGCAGAACAAAATGTATCTATTTATATTTCAGATATTAATCAAAAAGATTGTATATTTTAGGAGCTGAAATCATTCTTACTGGGAGGGAAGTTGTATCTTCCTTTGCCTCTTATCTTTAGTACAGATAGTCCTCGACGTATGACCACAATTGAACCCAGCATTTATGTTGCTAAGCAAGACAGTTGTTAAGCGAATTTTGCCCTATTTTATGACCTCTTTTGCCTCAGTTGTTAAGTTTGTAACATGGTTGTTAAGTGAATCCAGTTTCCCCATAAACTTTGCTTGTCAGAAGGTCGCAAAAGGGGATCACATGACCTCGAGACACTGCGGCCGTCATAAATATGAGTCAGTTACCAAGTGTCTGAATTTTGATCACTTGACCATGGAGATGCTGCAATGGTTTAAATGTGAAAAAGAATCATAAGTCACATTTTTCAATGCCTTTGTAACTTTGAACAATCACTAAATGAATGGTTGCAAATCAAGGACTACCTGTAATTTCTGCAGTAGATGCAACTAAATTAGTGAAGACAAGACTGTCTTTTATTTCCAGTTCTGTCTAAACAAGGGCCTGATTGAAATGTTACAAACTTTGATTCTCTCAAGTAGTTGAAATATATAAAACAATATATATTGTTTTTGGACCTCAAGATTAAGTCTCTCATAATATCAGTTGTGGGATCGTGGTGCTCTCTGAGCTTGGTGGTTTTCTTGCAGACGTTTCGTGACCTGACTTGGTAACATCATCAGTGCTAGAAAGGAATAGGATTTGAACTTCTAGCACTGATGATGTTACCTAACCGGATCAGGAAATGTCTGCAAGAAAAAAAAACAAAGCTCAGAGAGCACCAAAGACCCCATAGCCCCGTCATCTTATATATTGTTATTGCACAAGCTATGTTGGTTTAAGCGCCTTTATAGCATTGGGTCCAGAATTGTCTCACCCCAATGGAATTGGCCTACCTCACTTGTTCCTGCAGAAGGGGTGTTCTGTGTATCCCGTCAGTAAAGGAATTACAGCTAGTGGGGGTCCAACAGAAGAGGCTTTTCTGCTTTGGCTCCTGCCCTCAAACCTCATGCCTCTCCCCGAAGGGAGATCCGCATCCACCCTTCTGAAATTTTGTCAATTTTAATGTTCACATTTATTATATGAATAATGTCATAAATTATCTGTGAGGGAAATGGGGGGTTAATAAGGTAGGTAGGCAGGTAGGGAGAGAAAAGAGAAGGATGGGTAGATGGGTGGATGGACAGATAGACTGATAGATGACATAGGATAGATTGATAATAGATGATAGAGAAAGAAGAATAGATGATAGATCGATAGATAGATATATGATTGAATAGATAGATATACGATTGAATAGATAGATATATAATTGAATAGATAGATACGATAGATGATAGATACGATAGAAGAGATAGATAGTAGATATACAATAGAATGAATAGATAGATATACGATTGAACTGATAGATAGATAGATAGATAGATAGATAGATAGATAGATAGATAGATAGATAGATAGATTTTAACATTTAATGGTTTATCTTGTCTTTACTTGGTTGTGTGCCACATGGAATTGCCTCCTGGCGAGATGAGCGGCGTCTATCTTAATAAACAAAATGAGGTTGTCTGCAGGAGAGAGTCACACATGGGACCCCCCCCCCCCGGACTGGGCTAACAACAAAGATAAGCAGTTAGTTGCAGGAGTGTTGACTGTACCTACTCAGTTTAGGCCATGCTTTGATTACAAGAAACCTGCTTGTAACTCCAGTTCATTTTTTCTGATACTTATTTTCTTCTGAATATTTTAGGAGACCCGTTGATTCAGGACCCGCTTCGGGCGACCAGAAGCCGTCGGTGTCAAAATCTGGAAGAAAAATCAGAGGGAGAGGCACAATAGTATGTTCTTGTTGTTGTTGTTTTAATTTCAAATTTACAACTGGAGAGAGTTATTTTTAAAAGCAGCTGAAAGCTTGCTCTGGCTTGATTAACTTAGTCACAGGGTGTAGATTTGGGCTGTACAGCCCTAAGGTCAGCTTCTGTTCACCTGGGCACTCATTGAAATTGCAAAATGGGGACAAATGTATTCTGACACCTAAAAAAATAGTAAGGATGAAAACAGGCAGCGTTGCAAAACTATATTTGTATAGGTAGTGCTCGGCTTACAACAGATCGTTCAAAATTACAGTGGCACTGAAAAAAGGGATTTAATGGCTATTTTCACACTTAACGACCATTGCAGCATCCCCGTGATCACGTGATCAAAATTCGGATGCCTGGTAACTGATTCATATTTATGACGGTTGCAGCGTCCCAGGGTCATGTGATCCCTTTTTGGCGATCTTCTGATGAGCAAAATCAACAGGGAAGCCAGGTTCACTTAACAACCAGGTTACTCACTTAACATCTGCGGTGATTCAGTTAATAACCGTGGCAAGAAAAATTGTAAAAAGGAGGCAAAACTCACTTAACAAATGTTTTACTTAGCAACACGTTTTGGGTGCAGATATGGCCGTAAGTCAAGAACTACCTGTACTATTAACTAATGACTTACTGAAACCTGAAATTAGACAATATTTTAGACAAAAAGTGGATATGAATTTTGCCTCCTTGCACTTCGAAGTTCAATTCTGGGGTAATTTATTTTCTGGAGGGCTTCATACAAAGTCTGTCTTACAAATTAAGGAAGATCCCCACTTTGAATTTACAGGTAATCCTTGACTTAAGACCATTTGAAGTTATGTCAGACCTGAAAAAGGGATTCAAGACCTGGACATAAGGTCCTGACGAGCAGGTCACAGGATTGTGCTTTGGGCATTCATCAACAGCTGTTTGGCGCATCCTAGCCGTCATTCGATTGTTTTACCCAAAATTGGCACATCTGTTTTCAGCAAAGCGGGGCCACAGGGAACAGTTAACTACTATGATGTTCACCACTACCTCAAAAGTCATAAAATCGAGTTGGTCATATGACTGACCCATATTACGACTTATGACCACAATGGACAGATGATCGTATTATGGTCGCAACTGGAGGACTATCTGTCCTTTTCTATTCTGGAGCCGAATTCTCTTGCACACCAGGTCCTTTCCTTCCTTACCCCACGTCTGCAAGCAATCTTAATTACTCCCGAAATTGGGCAAGAAACAGATTAATAACAACAAAGTTGGGAGGGGCCTTGGAGGTCTTCTAGTCCAACCCCCTGCTCAAGCAGGAGGCTCTATACCAGAGGTCACCAACCTTTCTCAGTTGGCGGACCAAAGGAAAAGGGAGGGGGAAGCATTTTAGCTGCATGCGTGCACGTGCACATGGGGCTGCAAGTACACACGTGCCGCAAATGGGACGGGGCTAGCACCATATGATACTAGCCCTGTCCTGTTCTTGCATGGCACAGCGCCTCATTTCTGTGCTGTTTTTGTGCCTTGCAGCACAGCGGCACCCATTTTTGCACCCCACGGCATGGCGTGTAGTAATCACTCCTTAGTCATTGAAGGGTGCAAAGAAATGGCCACTTACTACGCAGCCTTTTATTGTTTTTATAGAGTTTTTCAAATAGCAATAGATACAGCATGGCAACAGCATTTCATTGGCTAAAATCCTTTACCAATCCTCAAGAGTAAAAAGTTAGAGGCCATAAACAGGAAAACTTGTTGTTCACCGATTAGCCTTATCAAATTGGCAAGGTCACATAGACCTGCGTCACGTCACCATGGTGATGTGGGGGGGGGGAGAGAAGAAGATGCATAACAAAGGCACAAGCGTTGGTAGGGCAGTTTTCTGCTCGCAACTTTCGCCTGTCTCTTATCCCTACAATGGCGGTCTCCTGTTTCCATGGCGCGTTGTTGTCTGTTTTTGTGCCTCGCAGCGAGGCATGGCCCATTTTTGTGCCCCAAGGCATGGCGGCATCCTGTTTTTGCACCCTGTGGCACAGTGTCCTGTTTTCGCCACCACAGTGCTAGTGGGTGTAAGGTGATGTGCGCACACATACATGCACTGCCTAGCCTGTCCCACGGCCTAGTAGCCAGTAGGACACAGCCCACTACTGGGCCAAGGCCCACAGGTTGGGGACCCCTGCCCTATACCATTTCAATCAAGTGGCTGTCCAGTTTCTTTTTAAAAATCTCCAGTGTTGGGGAATCCACAACTTCCGGAGGCAAGTCGTTCCACTGATTAATTGTTCTCACTGTCAGGAAATGTCTCCTTATTTCTACACTGTTTCTCTTCTTGATTAATTTCCATCCATTGTTTCTTGTCCTGCCTTCAGGTGTTTTGGAGGATAGGTTGACCCCCCCCCTTCTTTGTGGGAGCCTCTCAGATATTAGAACACTGCTTATCCTTAATCCTTTTTCTCATTAAACTAGATATACTCAATTCCTGCAACTGTTCTTCATATGTTTTAGCCTCCAGTCCTTTAATCTTCTTTGCTGCTCTTCTCTGCACTCTTCCTTTTTTTCATTGTGGCAACCAAAACTGGATGCAGTATTCCAGGTGTGATCCTGCCAAGGCCTTATAAAGTTGTACTAACACTTTATGTGATCTTGATTCTATCCTTCTATTAATGCGGCTTAGGATTGCATTGGCTTTTTTAGCTGCTGCTGCACACTACTGGCTCATATTGAAGTGATTGTCCACTAAGACTCCAAGATCCCTCACACAGTTACTGCTGTTTAGCCACTTTTCATGTAATCTGTAGATTTGGTGTACATTTGTTATCCTATTGCATTTTTTTTTCTAGAGATACCATACGCCACCTCACTCTCGCTCGTGCACGGAATCGGATAACAATGGAAGCAGTGAAACACCGCCCCACTGGAAGGAGGAAATGCAGAGATTGAGAACTTATAGGGCGCCCAGCGGAGAAAAGTGGAGTAAAGGAGACAAGTAAGAATTTGCTGACAATGTTGTCTTCCTGAAGTGTCATGTTTTGGGAGAAAAAACAAAGCTCAGAGAGCACCAAGGATCCCATAGAACTCCTCCTCCTCTTCCTCCTCCTCCTTCCTCCCTTCTCCACACTCCAAACCCCACTTCTTTCTATCACTGATGATGTTACTTAGTTGGGTCATGAAATGTCTGCAAGCTCAGAGTGCCTCAAGGGCGCCACAGTTCAACTCTACGTAGTGTACTGTAGTATTCTGTGGTATATTGTGACTGCTGATTCTTCATAATAATAATAATAATAATAATAATAATAATAATAATAATAATAATAATAGTAAAGTTGGAAGGGACCTTGGAGGTCATCTAGTCCAACCCCCTGCTCGGGCAGGAAACCCTACACCATTTTTCTTCTTTAGGAAGAGGCTACCAACAAACCTCTGTTTTTAGCTTTATTCAAGTTGCTCATTCAAGGTTTCTTTAATCTTTCAGGCACTGCTTAGAGCACTTGCAGAGTTTAATGCCTAAGGGGAGTTAAACATTGTACTCAAAGAGATTGCTTGCTCTTTAGATTACTTTGTTCGAATCGGGGACATAGATCGTCAAAATGATATCACCAGTGCCCCTGAATTCTATTGCCAAATGTTAGAGCTGCAGGTCCTCTACTACAGAGCATCCGTACAATTTAACCATAAAGCAAATATAGATGAGCCTTTTTCAGAATCTATTGATGCACCCTCCCATCAGCTCTACTGGCAAGGAGATTTAATGGGACTCCTTATTTGCAGAGACTTTCTCCTTGTTGATCTAAGGTAGTAGAACATCTTCCTCATATGAATACTCCAAGACCTGGTCTGATAGCCCCAATCATTTCCAAATCCCAGGGCAACAATAATCAATTTTATGCTGATTTTGTTTAAGGGATGCTAACCCCAAACTCGCACATCAGGTGGCCAAATATCTTCACCTAGTTAATACAACTGTGCAAAACATTTAATTAGATATGCTGTTTCCTATTACTTTTTTCCCTTCTTCAATGTATTAAACTATTTTAGTGTATTTTTTTATTTTTGTAAAAGCTGATCAAAGACCAAAATGAAGACATTTTGATTTCTTTTTCCTTAGGCTGAGCGACCCAGGACGATGGGATGAAAGAAGTCTATCCCCGCGGTCTCGTTCTTGGTCCCACAATGGCTTTTCAGACCTCAGTACTGCTCAGCATGTCAGCCACCGAAAAAAACACCGGAAAGAGAAAAAAGTGAAGCACAAGAAGAAGGCCAAAAAGCAGAAGCACTTGAAGAAGCACAAACAAATGAAAAAGAAACAGACTCCTTCCACTGAGTTAGAATCCTCTCCTTCTTCTACCAGAAGGAAAAAATCATTGCGTGACCAGGAAAGAGCATCGCGTTCTTCCTCCCTGACATCTAAAGATGATTCTTCTAGAAGAGCCTGGTCCAAATCTGACAGAGACAAGCGGAGCTCGGCCTCTCTCTCCACCAGAGATTCTCGCTCATACTATAAGTCTCGATCCCGAACTCGGTCCAGGTCCAGATCTTATTCCCAAAGTTCTCAGTCGAGAAACACTCGCATGTCCTCGCAGTCAAGGAGCCGGTCAAGATCCAGTTCCTCCTCGAAGCCGGTCAAAACAGTCTCCAACTCGCCCAAAAATGTGGTGGCTCATTTAAAGGAGTGCAAGCTGGTCTCCGTTGAACCGGTACGAACAGCGTTACCCCAAAACGATAAACTCACTATTCAGCCTGTGGTCGCCGAAAGCCTTCCAGTCATCCCGCTGAGCGATAGTCCCCCACCTTCCAGATGGAAACCAGGGCAAAAACCGTGGAAACCATCTTACGAGCGGCTTCAGGAAATGAAAGCCAAGACCACTCACCTACCACCTGCTCAGACAAGTTACAGTTTAATCAGCATCAAAGACCCCGGCTCCTCCTCTTCCTATCCCAAACAGCAAAAGAGCTCGGAGAGTGACCGGAGCCGTTACTCCAAAATCCAGAGCAACAGAAGTTCAGGCAGCTGGTGGAAATATAGTAGCAGGACTTCACGAAGTCGGTCCTCCTCCAAGTCCTCCTCAAGATCAAGGAGCCGATCCAGTTCGAGATCCCAATCCACCGTGAGATCCCGTTCGGGGAATCCCTTCCCCAGCGACCAGTCGTGCTACAGCGGATCCTCCTCTTACTTTTCGCTCAGCGAGGACGACCGGCAGAAAAGCCGGACAAAATTGGGATCCCGCGAGAGAAATTCTGAGCTGTCCAAGAAAAGGCAGAGCAGTTCGGAGAGCACACTTCCCTACGTGAAAGGCATGAGCTCGTTGAAGCCTAGGAGTGCAAGCAGATCCTCCGCCGAGTCCTCAATCGATAGTGAAAAATTGACTCCATCCCAGCCTGCCCAAGAAAAAGAACAACTAAGATCAGAAAAAGTGGGCCGAAAGCAAAACAAAAGAAGTTTGGGTTGCAACCAGCGCGAAGAGAAACCTCGGCCTGGGCAGGATAGCAATCGTTCCAAACAAAAAGTTTTGAAAGAGAAATCTGAGACTCTCAAAAGCGGCCGGAAAGCCAAAACGAAAAAGTGTGCGAGCGACGAGTGGGATTCCGAATCGAATTCTGAAAGAGACGGAACCCAAGACGAGAAAGAAAACTCAAGACTCTTGTCTGCAAAAGAGGAAGGCGAGGCCTCGTCGGACTCCGATACGGATCCCTGCCCACCCACCAAACACAAGTCGAAATCTGAACCCGTCCCAGATACGTCGAAAGGGAACAAGCCTCCTTCCTCTTCAGACACTGAGACTTCTGATTCCGATGCGGGTTCCAGGGACAAATCCCGGAAGCCGAAGCGAAGTTCCAAAAAGTCCTTCCGAAAAGTCCATGGCAAAAAGGCGAAAGAAAAATCCAAAAATAAAAAGGAAAAGAAACACAAAGCCGAAAAACGTAAAGAGACATTCCATTGGCAGCCCCCCTTAGAGTTTGGAGAAGAGGAAGAGGAGGAGGAAGTCGTTGCGGGGAAACCTGGAACGAAAGAAGAACGAGAGAAACACGCCAAAAAGGAAGCAAAAGACAAAAACAAAGACCAGGATTCCAAAAGTGATAAAACACTCAAAGACCAAGCGAAGGATGATCGGATGTCCCATGAAGAACCTGCCCTCTCAAAGAGAGGAGCAAATCAGGCCTCATCCGCTAGCCAGTTGAATAAATGCAGTGAGGAAAAAGCTATTTCTTCAACTCCTGTACCAAATTCAAATAAAAACGTCTCTGTTTCCAAAAATCCCACCGCAGCTCAGGAGAATAACAAAACTGGGCCAGATGCCATGCAGATGGACGATATGGAGATCTGTACTCCGGACCATAATTCTCCCGTAAAAGTGAATCTGGAACTTTCTCCAGTGAGCCTGAAATTAAATTTCCAAGACATTAAAGCCAGCACAAGCTCCCAGGTGCCGATTAGTACCACAACCCGGAGCGTAAGACAAGCTGTTGATGCTAAAGGTCTAACTAGCCTCCAAGAGGGAAGCCAAGAACGAGATGGGGAGAAACCGAAAGCCTCCACCAGCGTGGAAACCGTGGTGAAGATGGAAGTTTCTGAAAATATATCAAGCAGTCTCGGGGACAACAAGTGGAAACCGTTACAGGGTGCTGGGAATCTGCAGCTCACCGTATCCGCCAGCAACATTGTCGAAATGAAAAACTTGCCTGCCGGCTCCTCGGAATCCAAACCACCGGGTTTAAGGATCGAGATTAAAAGTAAAAACAAGATTAGGCCGGGCTCTCTGTTTGATGAAGTCAGGAAGACGGCGCGTCTGAATCAGAGGCCACGGAACCACGAGAGCTCGAGTGAGGAAGATTCCGCGACCCAAGAGGACAGCCAGTCCAGAAGTCGGAGTCGCTCCCGGAGCAAATCGGATGTTAAATCCAGGCACCGGACAAGGTCTCTGTCTTACAGTCACTCACGAAGTCAGTCAAGGAGCTCCACATACTCATATAGGTGAGTACATTTCTCTCCCTCTCCCCCTACATGCATCTGTCTGTGCATTTATTTCTTGCCTTTATTATTTTTATAAATAACTCAAGGCAGCGAACATATCCAGCATATCCAGTTTTCCCCACAACAACATCAGTGTTCGCCTGAGAGAGTGTGACAGGCCTAAGACTACCTACCTGGGTTTCTTTTCTTTTTTTTTTTATTGAAAAATTTTAAAATTTTAAAAAATAAGAAAAAACAACCCACCCCAACCCTCCCTCAACTTTCCCAGAGCTGAATATAGGCTTAATTAAATTTTCTTGAATTCTTAAAAAAATATATATATAAACCATAGATAAGTCTAAATACATTACTTAAACTACTAATAGAATAATTAACAATAATATATATATATATATAAAAGAGATAAATATTAAAGAAAAGAAAAAAGAAAATACTTAAAAAGAAGAAGAATAAAGAGAAAGAAAGAAGAAAAGTAATATTTTTTTATATCCAACTTATGTTGTATAAAATCTATCCATTTTTCCCATACCACAAAAAAATTCTCTTGCGATTGATCCTTTAAAAAAGCCGAAATCTTTGCCATTTCCGCGAGATAGGATATTTTAAAAAACCACTCTTGCAAAGTAGGCAAAGATTCCTTCTTCCAACATTGCCCTACTAACAACCTTGCGGCTGTAATTAAATTTAACATCAATATAACCTCCTTAGTATCACAATCAGTAACAATACCTAGCAAAAACAATTGTGAGGTAAATTTTACCCTCTTTCTAAAAATTCTTTGAATATTCCACCATATCTTAATCCAAAAAGCTTTTATATTTTTACATGACCACCAAATATGGTAATAAGTAGCATCCAAACAAGGACATCTCCAACATTTGGGCTGTAAGTCGGGATACATACGAGACATTTTTTGTGGATCAAGGTGCCATCTATAAAATATTTTATAAAAATTCTCCCTTAAGTTCTGGGTTTCATGACTAGGACTAGAACACACCATCTCCTGGTGATTGGCCCAAAATTACCCACATAGCTTTCATGCCTAAGACAAGACTCGACTTCGCCGTCTCCTGGTGATTGGCCCACAGTCATCCAGCCAGCTTTTGTGTCTAAGGTGGAACTAGAACTTCCTGTCTCCTGGTGATTGGACCAAAGTCATCCAGTTGGCTTTCATGGCTAAGGTGAGACTACAGCTCACCATTTCCTCATGATTGGCCCAAACCAGCCAGCCTTCGTGCCTGAGTCAGGACTAGAACTCACAGTCTCTTGGTGCTTGGCTCAAAGTTACCTAGCTAGGTTTTATGGCTAAGACGAAACTTGAATTTACGGTCTGTTATATGTATTTTTAAAGGGGGTATCTTTTTTTCGGATGCCTATTTTCTCCTCAACCCATTTCCTTTAAATACACAGATCCCGGAGCTACTCGAGAAGTCGGAGCAGAGGGTGGTACAGTCGTGGTCGCTCAAGAACCCGAAGTAGCTCTTACAACAGTTGCAGAAGTGATAGGTAAGTTGTCTGTCAAGGAAAAAGGACTGGAGCCGTGATGGCACAGTGGTTAGTATGCAGGCAAACTCTGCCCCCAGCCTGGAGTTCGATCCTGGTCAACTCAAGGTTGAATTCAGCCTTCTATCCTTCCGACATTGGTAAAACCAGGACCCAGATTGTTGGGGACAATATGCTGACGTTGGTAAACTGCTTAGAGAGGTTTCTAAAGCAGTATATAAATCTAAGTGCTGTTGTTAAGTGCCATATCGGGAAGCTGAGAAAGCAGCACTGACTAAATGCCATAGTGAAATGTTTGGGTTTTGTGGACAGCATTGAGCTTAACTGAGGAAGAATCTGCATCACTTAAGACTCTAGTGGAAACTAAAAAAAAACCTGGCAAACAACTTTTAAACTACAGGGAATCCTCGACTTATAACTATGATGGAGCCTGCCCATCACAGTCATAAGTCATGCACGGTCGGAAGTATTGACAATCATAAATCCACGTGACCGGTCCAATTTTATGACCTCTTTGGGATGACGATTATCAAGCAAACACCGCAGACATAATAGTGAACAATGTGGTTGTTAAATGAACCAATAATTCATTACGGGCTGTTTTTGTCAAAAACTGGAAGTAAATTGTCAGTTTTTGGCAAAACTCTTGTAAAACGTGCAAACAACTGTAAAAGCCAGGTGGTTCGTGGGAACTTTAGGAGCAGGTCATAAGCATCCCCGGGGAGGCCCGTCATCATTTTGAACGGTCACTAATTGACCAGTCGTAAGTCGAGGATTACCTGCCTTGCCCCCAACGTGCACGACTGTGTCTCTGAAGCTCAGCTCACCTTGAAAGAGATACAGGATGTTTTTATTTGCAGCCAACTTTGGCTTCGTTTACAGACCCCTCTCTACATTTAATGAAGAGTTTTCTGTTAATAAGGAAAGAATTTGAATTCTCAGATTTAAGTACCTACATTTAAATGCTTGGAAATGTTGTCTGTGCAAATAATTTTTAAAAATTTCTATACCAACCATTCCCCCCCTCCTCCCCCGTTTTAACAGTCACACTTACAGTCGGAGCCGATCCAGAAGCAATTCTTACACTCACCGGAGTCGGTCAAGGTAAGGTAATAAGTGCGAGATTATTTTTATAAACATCCTTGTAAAACAATCTGAAAATCAGTATTCTGACCGCTGTTTTATAAACAATTGCAGTAGTCTTTGACTTAAGACTACTATTAAGTGCAAAAATTCTGTTGCTAAGTGAAACAGTTGTGAAGTGAGTTTTGGCCCATTTTACCACGTTTCTTGCCACAAATGTTAAATGAATTACTGCACTTGTTAAGCCGATAACACAATTCTTAAGTGATTCTGACTTCCCCATTGACTTTGCTTGTCAGAAGGCTGCAAAAGTGGATTGTGTGACCCCAGGACAGTGCAGCTGTAGTGGTGTATACATGTCAGTTGCCAAGCGCCCGGATTTTGATCAAGCGACCATGAGGATGCTGCAATGGTCAAAAGTAATACCGTAAATGCCGGCGTATAAGACGACTTCCGCGAGCGCTGAAATCGGCGCCAAAGACGGCGGTCATCTTATACGCCGGAAATACTGGTAGTTTCCGGCGTATAAGACGACATTCTAGGAATGCAGCCCGGCTATAAAGACGGGGGTCGTCTTATACGCCGGGTCGCCTTGTACGCCGGCATTTACAGTAATAATAATAATAAAGTTGGAAGATACTTGGAGGTTATCTAGTCCAACCCCTGCTCAGGCAGGAAACCCTATACCATTTCAGACAAATGGGTGTTCAGTCTCTTAAAAACCTCCAGTGTTGGAGCATTCACCGCTTCTGGAGGCAGGTTGTTCCACTGGTTAATTGTTCTAACTGTCAGGAAGTTTCTCCTTAGTTCTAGGTTGCTTTTCTCCTTGATTAGTTTCCATCCGTTGCTTCTTGTCCTGCCTTCAGGCATTTTGGAGAATTGCTTGACTCCCTCTTCTTTGGGGCAGCCCTTGAGATATTGGAACACTGCTATCCTGTCCCTCCTCATCCTTCTCTTCATTAAACTAGACATACCCAATTCCAGCAACCGTTCCTTATATGTTTCAGCCCCCAGCCCCCTAATCATCTTTGTGAAGTACAGTTATAAGTCTTCTTTTTTTCAGTGCCGTTCTTACCTCAAATGGTCAAGTCAAGGACTACCTGTATCAAGGGATTTTCTTTTTTCAGGCAAGCATGGAAAAATGGAGGAAAAAGAAAAAAAATCTGCTTTAATAGATAATGGAGAGGGGTTATATTTGTGTAATAAACATACTTCTGAGTCACATTTGAACTTGCATAGCTCTACTTTTATATTCCTTCCTAATTTCCTAATTTTAACACCGTGGGAATAATATGGAGATACCTAGGAATAATGAATGGATTCAGGTATACAAGTAGTCCTTGACTTACAACAGTTCATTTAGTGACCGTTCGAAGTTACAACAACACTGATAAAAATAACATGTGTTTTTCACACTTATGACCATTGCAGCATCTCCATGGCCGTGTGCTCAAATTTCAAGTGCTTAGCAACCGATTCATATTTATGACGGTTGTGATCCCCTTTTGTGACCTTCTGACAAGCAAAGTCAACAGGGAAGCCAGATTCACTTAACAACCTTTTTATTAACTTAACAACTGCAGCGATTTACTTAACAACCGTGGCAAGAAAGGTCATAAAATGGGGCTAAGCTCTCTTAAAAAATATCTCGCCTACCAAAAGAAATTTTGTGCTCAATTGTGGTCGTAAGCTGAGGACTATCTGTATTTCTAGTTGTAAACACAATTCTGGTTATAAACAATAATACAACAGAAGTTAGAAAGCTTGCAGTTGTTTTGCAGTTGTGTAGGTGTCTTCCTTTTGTTAGCACAAAAGATTGGCACTTTAAAAGCAGTTGTTACTTTCACACAATTCTCATTTTAATTACTAACAATGGAAGTCATTCTAGATCAAATAATCCTTTGCTTCTGGTTCCTTCATAAAAGCAGATCCTACACATATGACAGTTACTACAGCCGGAGTCGCAGCCGTAGTAGAAGAAGTGACAGTTACCACCGCTCTCGTAGCTACGACCGACGTTCCAGGTAAATTTTTCCTAGTAGCTTGGTTGTTAACTGGACCGGCTGGCAAACATTGCATGCAAACTCTTACATTCCATTTTCAGGTCTGTTGTGGAACTGCCAGCATTTTGGAAAAGTGGGGAAGCTTAGAATGATGCTTCTAGAACAGTGTTTCTTAAACACCTTTGTTCTCAGGATCCCTGCCCTCTTTTAAATATCGTGAAGGATCCCAAAAGAGCTTTCACGTAGCATGTTAACATTTTTTTTATTTGTATTCCGCCTTTATTATTTTACAAATAACTCAAGGCAGTGAACATATCCAGCGCACCTTCCTCTCCCTGTGAGGTGGGTTGGGCTGAGAAAAAGGAATTCACCAAGAGTCACTGGCTTTCATGCCTAAGGCAAGACTAGAACTCACCGACTCCTGGTGATTGGCCCAGAATCACCCAGCCAGCTTTTGTGCCGAAGGAAGAACTAGAATTTACAGCCTGCTGGCAGTTGGCTCAAAATCACTCAGATGGCTTTCATGCCTAAGAGTGGACTTCAACTCACCATCACCTAGTGATTGGCCCAAAGTCACCCAGTTAGCTTTCAATGGCTACAAGGGGACTAGAACTCGCAGTCTCCCACGGTCACCTTAACTACATGCTACTACTGCTTCTCACAATTGTTTGGTGGGATTTTAATATTGTGTTATTTTTCATCACAGCCTAGCAACTAATTTTGATTTCATGAAAGGGTCTTGAGGAGAATCCCCAGGATCACACTTTTAAAAAGCACTATTCTAGGCTACCTACAGACAAAATCCAAAAGAATACTAGTACAGTAATTATACAGTAATTAGGATACAACACATCTTTCAAGGCCTGTTTTCATAATTCCACAAGGAAAAGGCTAGTTGGATCCTCCAGATTCACATCTACTGGCCTTCCTTACTAGCCTCTGAGGCTGGACTTTGTTAATCTCAAGAAAAGAGAGAAAAAGACATGGCAAATATCTTTCAGTGCTGGTGGGCATTTTTGTCCACCTTGGCGTCCTTCCCAAGGACCTGGGATAGGCAGATGTGGATATTTGATGGCATTAAAGGTCTCTTCGCAGGATGTCAGCTGTTCTAAGTAAAGCTGCCTTCTGCAATTGACTGATGGGGATTGTGTCAATGCCGAAGGTGTTCAGTGGGTGTTCCAGATGTTTTGGGATGGTACCCAACATTGCACTTATCACTGGTGGGACTACTTTCGCTTTCTATTGCCATAGTTGTTCTTCTATTTGCAGGTCTTTGTATTTTCTGATCTTCTCCAGTTCTTTCTCTTATTATTATTATTTCAGTGGTACCTTTGTACTCCATTGCTTTGAAACTCATCAGATTTGACACTCTGCACATTTTGACGTGAAAATTTTATCCCAATACTCATCGCTCGTTTGGAACTCAACCTACAAAGCTAGAATTACTTGGTGTCAGCTGCCTTGTGACTCAGTATATTATTCCTTATGGGAAAATTTTGTTTGGTACTCATCACGCCTCTCAGAACCAATTAACAATGAGTACCAAGGTACCACTGTATTATTAAAAATAGTTGATCGGAAAAGGGACTTTTCCTGATTCTTTGCCATCTTAGACCAACATGGCTCCCTCCTACAGTTGCAAATGACCCTCTGGCTTGCTAGGCATGGCTTGGCACGCATTCCAGAACTCCAGAGAGAAAAAAATTGGACCCAGCGACAGAAATTCAGGAACTATAACTAGCAACAAAATGGAAGAGATATTAGAACATCATTATCTCAGACAGAAGTCTTGGGAACAAATCTTGCAGATTTGTGAAGGAGGGATAATTGCGCAATCTTGTTTCCTGACACGGTTTCATTAGCCTAACAAGCCATATTTAAGGAGGGGGTTCTGAAGAGACAAATGATAGAAGACACCCCAGAAAGATTCCCTTAGTTTTAATCTTCAGGTTGTGGGAAAGTCTCTACAGGTAATTCTCGACTTACGACCACAATTGAGCCCAAAATTTCTGTTGTTAAGTGGATTTTGCCCCATTTTATAACTTTTTTTTTTTGGCTGCAGTTAAAGTGAATTACTGCAGTTGTTAAGTTAGTAACAAGGTTGTTAAGTGAATCTGGCTTCCGCCATTGGCTTCGCTTGTCAGAGGGTCACAAAAGGGGATCACGTGACCCCGGGGACACTGCGACGGTTATAAATACGAGTCAGTTGCCAAGCGTCCGAATTTTGATCATGTGACCATGGGGATGCTGCAAAGATTAATGTGAAAAATGGCGCTAAGTCATTTTTTTCCCCGATGCCATTGTAACTTTGGTCACTAAGTGAACTGTTGTAAGTCAAGGACTACCTTTTTTAAAAAGTGGAAGTGGGTGCCTGATGTGCTGTATTGACGTATATTTTGGCTTTCCTCGTAGATCTTACGGTTCCGACAGCGAAAGTGATCGCAGCTATTCTAATTGCCGAAGTCCCAGCGAAAGCAGCAGATACAGCTGAGAGCCCGACCGGCTGAGCATAGCGAATTATAATTAACAGAAAGTTTTTGTGTCCGTAGCCTGCGTCGAGGTTTTGTTTTTTCGTTTTCTTCTCAATGTCTAGGTAAAACTTAAAACGCTGCCAACAAAGGCGGAGCCTTATTTAAACTTAACACAACCTTTTTTGTACACTCTATTCTGGTGATCATTTTGTGTTGCCCGGAGTTCCCTTTCCAAACGATAGATGATAACGGTTGACATGCAATCTTAAGCCCGGTAGTTGTTTCTCCGAAGGAAATTAGCTTGGTAACCATGAAACTGAAGAATCATAGGAATCTCACCTGCAGTCTACCTGCCTCAAACATTGCCCTTAAATGCTGAAATAATGGTTCATTGGTATCTTGACACCCCAGAAAACGGTGACACTACAGATCCAGGAAGATCTTGGATCTGTAATGTTCAGGAAGATCCTGGATCTGTAATGTTCAGGAAGATCCTGGATCTGTAATGTTCAGGAAGATCCCGGAAGTTCCTAACTTAAGAGATCATTCACCACTACAGTTCGAATCCTGGGAGTTAGATTCATCCCTTGCCTGGAAAATGTCATGTATATTTGGATCCCAGGAGTTAAAAGTTGGTTACCATCATGTTCCTTGATCAATTTTACCTAATACACCCTTGCAGGTGTAATCCAGGTGCCGATAGTTAACTTTGGTGTCTGAACTCCAAGCGATGCTAGACCACATTGAGTCTCCGTTCTCTATCCAGTGAAGAAGCAAGAATATTAGCTGTTGGCTTTTCCCATGGTCTGCTGACTCTGGATTTTCATCATGTCTGGATGTACTAACATTTCTAACTTTCTACTATCGCTGTCAGATCTGCAAGTCTGTTGATGAGTATCGACAAAGATAGCAAGCTGTAAATTTATTTCAGAAAACTAACTTTCAGGAGCAATCAGATTTTGTTCCCGAGTTTGGATTCAGCAGGTAAAAATTCATTTTGAAATCGAAATGTCGGGATATACACAAAATTTTCATATTGGATAATTAACTTTTTTTAAAAAAACACAGCAGAAATAACATTCTGTTATTTAGTGGTCCAGGGATATGCCGACTCTTTACCTGTTAATGCCGATCCTGAATTTGTTAAATTTCTACAATGCCAAAATGCTGCATATTTCGTAACAGGGTGGCACAGAGCATTTTCCTTGGACCTGCTTCAGCCCCCAAATTTGTAACTTGAGTTTGAGGTTGCCATTTTGAATTCACGGGGGAAAGACCCCACACAAATTTCAAAGCAGCCCGTTTCATTTTCAAAACAGTTTGAAGGATTTCCTAGACTCCCTGTTTCAACTTTTTATTAGGAGCCAAAATGTACAGTTGGAATGATCTTTTTTTTTTTCCTTTGATGCAATTAAAAATACGAATCACTTAAGTATCAGTTGTTGATCTTTAGGTACGAATTGCCTGTTCTTCAATTAAAAGCAACTGTCTGGTGGGAGAACTTTTACAGGTAGTCCTCATCGTACAACTATTTTGTTTAGTGACCATTTGAAGTTACAACAGCAATGAAAAAAGTTGCTTATGACCATTCTTTACACTTAATGATTGTTGCAGCCTGCCTGCGAGTCTTGTGATCGAAACTTGCACTTGGCTCATATTTAGGATGGTTGCAGTGCCCCAGAGTCATGTGACCTTTTGCAACCTTTTGAAAAGGAAGGTCACTTAACCATGTTAACTCACTTAACAACCCTAGAAATTCACTTAATGACGTGGCAAGAAAGATCGTAAAATGGGGCAAAGCACATTTAACAACTGTCTTGCTTAGCAGTGGAAATTTTGGCTTCAATTGTAAGCCAAGGACTGCTTATATTCAGGGGTGTGTCCTAAAATGTGAAGAGAAACCTGTTTCTGAAATCCTGTAGCCGTGGAGCAAAGCCAATTTTTTTTTTTAAACGAATGCCTAACCGGTTTAATTTCAATGCTTTGGTGGAGAGCCTTCAAGAAGTCCAAGGCCTACAGATCTATTGGGATCTGGACAGACAGACAGAGAGACACACACACACACACACACACCAGGAGTCCATCGGCAGCAACAATCCAGTCAAACTAGCTCACTTGATCAGGTCCATAGTAATTTGGGATACCCAGGCCTACTGATAAAATCACTTTTTTTAGGGCCTTTCAGAAAAACTATAGGGTGGGAGCCAATCCAAGCAAAGTTGGAAGGGACCTTGGAGGTCATCTATTTTACCCCCCCCCTTGCTTGAGCAGGAGAACCTACACATTCCAGGCAAATGGTGGTCCAATCCCTTCTTAAAGATCTCCAATGATGGAGCATCCACAACTTCTGGAGGCAACTTCTGTTCCACTGGTTCATTGTTCTCAAATGTTATAGAAAATTCCTCCTTAGTTCCAGGTTGCTTCTCTCCTTGATTAGTTTCCATCCTTTGCTTCTTGTCCTACCTTCAAGTGCTTTGGAGAGTAGATTGACCCTTTCTTCCTGGGGAGGAGGAAAGATGATCCATAGAAAAGGGGCCACCACTTAGAAGGCCCTTGTAGATACACAACCCGTAGTAGATAGGATCCATAACATGCCTAACCCTCCCATCCTGATGAACCGAATGAATGTAATAAGGGGAAGGTAGTTCTTTAAAAACCTGGTTTCCCAGCCCAGCTCATAGCAGGTGGGCAGGTGCACGTAGCCTTGAGCCTGCAGATGGCACACTGGGACAGACTAATGGGTATTAGCTAAGCTGGCCTGGATGTAAGTTTATCCGAAGGCCTAAATCTCAAATCTGCTGATCTGTTAAAAACTTCAATTCCCAGAATCTCCCTCTCTGTGGTCCTTTTAAAACATGGTCTTTGTTCTCCAAGCCGCTATATTTTGAGCCCACCAAACCTTCGTCGATCAAGCATCCCTTTTTCAGTCCTGACAATCAGAGGCAATGGTGATGCACTACGTTTTGGGAGTGCTCCAAAGATGGCTGGTGTGGTCGTGTTCACCGCAAAGTGCAATGCACTCAGGGCTCCCCCTCCAAGTGAGTCACAGGTTCAAGCCCACTGGGCGCCCGTTCTTTCCAGGATAATGACCCCACCCAAGCCCCCCATCTATGTTGTCCTCCCGGATCATGGACAGGTCGGTCCTGCCTGGATTCACTTTCTACACAGGGAAGCGATAGGAGTTAAGGGGCTGACCAAGGAGCCAGGAGATGAAAACTATCTGGGTGCCTTCAATCACCGGGTGACTGTCCCACTTTAGACACAAAACTGAGCTGGGTAACCGGGCCAATCACTAGGAGACAATGAGTACTAGTTCCGCCTTAAGTGGGAAAGCCAGCTGGGTGACTTTGAACCAATCACCAGGAGACTGATTTCTAGTCCCACATGCTTGAAAGCTGGTTGGTTGACTTTGGGCCAATCGCCGGGTGGCAGTGAGTTCTAGTCCCACCTTAGGCAAGGGAAGTTTTCTGAGTGACTGGGTCAGTCCTCTCAGCCAATTCCACCTTGCAGGGTCATTGTTTTGGGGAAAACGGGAGAAGGAAGGAAGTGGCTCATTCCATACCGAGCAATTAAGACCCAATAATAATAAATTAAAAATAATAATAAACAAATCATCCCGCACCCATCCCAGTTCTGTTCATTAGACGGCAAAGAAGCTAAATCTGTCAAGACTTGAGTCTACAAAGTGGGAAAACCGGGCGCGCAGGCGCACTGAGGCCAAGCGAAGCCAAACGCCTCCGTCACCCGCCTGGAATGCTAGGCAGGCGCTGCCAGCCTTTTCCCTTCTTGCATGTGGGGGCGGGGGGAGGGGAGGCGGAGCATCGGCAGAGGAACCTTGCAGAACGCCGAGCAGGGGCCGCTGCAGAGGAGGGGGGGCAGCCAGGCAAGCAATAGACCCCTCTTTAGACGGAATAAGCGAGAAGACCCCCCCCCAATCCACCTTCCTCGCTCCACCCCTGGACCTTTTGATGGAGAGCGCAACCCCCCCCGCGAGCAAAGGAGCAGCGGGGCTCCCTGGATCGGGTAGCCCGGCAGCAAAATGGTAGAGCGCCCCCCCCCTTTTTTTTTCTCCTCTCGGAATGGGGGCGCTGGCAAGCTTGGGCTAACGGGCGGTGGGAGGATCGGAAGTTGCTTTGCAATGCGATGCAATTTGCAATGCAGTTTATAATGCGACGCAATGTACAATGCTGTTTACAATGCAATTTGCAAGGCAATGCAATGTCTTCGCTCTCCCTGATTTTTCCTCTTGCCTCTTTCCTTCCTTCCTTCCTTCCTTCCTTCCTTCCTTCCTTTTTCTTCTGGTCCTTCCGACGCCCGGGTTTTTGTCCTGCACCATGCACACGTTGCAATCAAAGACGGGGGAGGGGGGGGAATAGACAGGACGGGTAGGAAAAGAGGTTCAACAGGATTCTGAATTTGCACGCCTGCTGGTTCAGTCCTATTGCCTTGCCTTTTTTTTTTTTTTTTTTTGAAAAAGGGGGAAAGGCGCAGGAGATGCCCACCACCTTCCATCCTGGCCAGATCGTGGCTTGCAAGGAGTTAACCTCCCTTCCTCGTTAGACCCGATCGCGTTGCGACGAATGAGCTCACCCGAACAAGTTGGCTCGCGCTGTGATTTCTTTCCTTCTGCCCGCTTTTCTCCCCCCCCCCCGCAAACCTTCCAAGCTTTAGGGACTACATCCGCTTCCTTGCACGCGTGAGTGACAGTTGCATCTCGGTTCATTTAAGGTCCTTGCAAGCAGTTTGGCAACCTGATTTTGTGTGTGTGTGTGTGTGTGTGTTTATGTGTGAAAGAGGGCGGCTTGGGCTACATAAACAGGGTTGGGGGGAGTGGGAGTTGGGAAAAGAATTGATCTCAATTTTGTAATAGAAACCTGCTTTGATTTGATACGCCCACTCATTTCTGTCACTCCCTTGGAGAGAGGGGGGGGTGTCCCGTGGTCTGCTTAAGTTTGCATGTGTTGGATTTTTAAAAAAAATATTGGGGGGGGGTTGGGAAAATGGGATGACCCTATCCCTTTGAAAGACCACATGACCCCCTCCCTCTGGGTTTTCTTTTTGAAAAGTGCTTATGCTGCAGCTGGGCAAGTAGGTCAGCTCCTGCCTGCAAAAAAGGCCCAAAGACTGTAATGCAATCCTAGAGGTGCTGGACTTCAACTCCTATCATCTTTAGCCAGAATGCAAAGTAATGGTATGTGTCTTGTGGAGACACAGGCTGGTGATTGCAAATGCCCTCCCCCCAAGAGCAGTTAGGGACCCTGTGTGCTGGGCTTTCTCAGGGATTTATTTCCAAAATTCTTCATGGATTCATTATCAATGAATTGGGGAGCTGTTATGCAAGTAGCATCAGGAAAGAGTTTAATTCAAGCGATAGATAGAAAAAAAAAGAGAGAGAGAGAGAAATGAGAGAGGGGGGGGGCAGGCAGATAGGCAGACAAGAGAGATGATAAATGATATGATAGATATATATGATAGATTAATAGATTATGGATAGATAAAACAATATAGATAATACAGGTTGGTAGGCAACAGATCAATAAGACAATATAGTTAACAGTGATAAATAACTGATAATAGATCAATAAGAATCTAGATGATGGATGGATGGATGATAGGCAGATGGAGGGATGGAAATAGACAGACAGACAGACGGCTAGATCGATACATAGGATAGATGGACAGAGAAAGACAGACAGATAGATAGGACAGACAGACAGACAGACAGATGTTGCCCTTGACAGCCATTGATTTAGTGACATTACACTGAGTGACCGCTGCATCCCCAATGGTCACATGATAAAAATTTGGACGCTTGGCAACTGACTCATACTTACGACGGTCGCAGGGTCACGGGGTCCCCTTTTATGACCTTCTGACAAGCAAAGTCAGTGGGGAAGCCAGATTCACTTAACAACCCTGTTACTAACAACTGTAGTGATTCACTTAACAACTGTGTGAATGTGGAGTTTTTTGCAGCAAAATCTATCCAAACTTTGGAGTTCTGTTTCATCGCATTGTTCTTTTAAGGGCCAACTCATCTTCTCATGGATGGCCGGTGTCTTCCAGTGTCACCCCAAACACAATAGAGTTTTGTTCTCTCATTAGTAGCTGTAAGGAATAGAATGTGTGTGTGTGTTTGTGCAACAGTACAGTAGATCAACAAAGGAGAAAATAAGCTTGCAGGCATTAAAAGTTCAGGTAGTCCTTGACTTACAACCACAATTGAGCCTAAAATTTCTGTTTTAGTGAGAAAGTTGTTAAGTGAGTTTTGGCCCTTTTTACGAACTCTCTTGCCCCAATTGTTAAGTGAATCTCTAAAGCTGTTAGCAACACGGTCGTTAAGTGAATCTGGCTTCCCCCATTGACTTTGCTTGGCCGAAGGTCACAAAAGAGGATCATGTAACCCTAGGACACTGCAACCATCATAAATATGAGTCAGTTGCCAAGCGTCTAGATTTTGACCATGTGTACCATGGGGATGCTGCAACGGTCCTAAGTGCGAAAAACGGACATAAATTACTTATTTCAGTGCCGTTGTAACTGCGAACAGTCACTAAATGAACTATTGTAAATTGAGAGTTGTAGAGGCACCAGCAGAAACAAAGGCTTTTGTGCAGTTGTGGTATGCTGCCGCCATTATGATAGGCAATGACCCCTCCCCTGGCTTCTGGAATTTTAGGACTACAACTCCCATCTTCCTTGACCAAATGGGGTGGATTTAGACCAGTGGTTCTCAACCTTTTTAATGCCGCGACCCCCAACCAGTCATAAGTCGAGGACTAAACCGGTTGTAAGTCGAGGACTAAACCGGTCATAAGTCGAGGACTACCCAACCGGTCGTAAGTCGAGGACTTTCCCTGCCTGGGAGCGCCGCGCATGCGTGGTGCCACTCCCTGCGCCGGCCGAGGCGTAGCTGGCAAGCGGCAGAGACGGAGCAGGCCGACCACCGGCTGGGCCACCAGCTGGCCCAGCCCAAGGGAGGTAAGGCACCCGCCGGAAAAGGGGAAAAAAAAATGGCAGACAGCCTTGCTTGGCGACCCCCGTGAAATGGTCGATTGACCCCAAATGGGGTTGCGACCCATAGGTTGAGAACCACTGCTTTAGACAGCAAAAGCAAACCAAATAACTAGAATGAACAGAAAATTCTCACATTCTGTTGAATCGACATGAAAGTAAAAAATAAGTCATAGGGTTGATCTAAGATAGTGTTTCTCAAACTCAGCAACCTTAAAATGCATGGACTTCAGTTCCCAGAGTTCTTCAGCCAACATCTGTGGACTTCAGTTCCCAGAATTCCCTACTCAACACCTATGGACTTCAGTTCCCAGAATTCTTCAGCCAACATCTGTAGACTTCAGTTCCCAAAATTCTTCAGCCAACATCTGTGGACTTCAATTCCTAAAATTCCCCAGTCAATATCTGTGGACTTCAGTTCCCAGAATTCCCCATCTACTGTGCATTGACTTTCAGTTCCCAGAATTCCCCAGCCACGAGATGACATCACTCCCACAATTCCCCAGCCACTATGAGGTGACATCTTTTCCCAGAATTCCCCATCCAGCCTGAGGCAACTTCATCTGCCATAATCCCCCAGTCAGCATGAGTGGACTTCATTTCCCAGAATCCCCCAGCCAGCCTGAATGAACTTCAGTTCCTAAAATTCTGTAGTGGGCATGAGTGAACTTTACCATGCAAACTGATGAATTCTGGAAGTTGAAGTCCACACAACTAAAAATGAGCTGAGGCTGGGAAACCCTGATCAAAGAGATAATTTGCATATCCCTTTCTGTTGCTCTTCCCCCCCAAAGGAGCTTGAGACTGATGCATTCAAAATTTGACACAACTATTACAGATAGTCCTTGACTTACAACGTTAATTGAGCCCAAAACTTTGGTCGTAAAACGGGTCACCACGTTACTGCACCCAATTTTATGAACTTTTAAGCGGTGGTTGTTAAGGGAAGTCCACGGTCAGAACTTCGAAACTGGGACATGGGCTCCATTTCTGGGTCCGTCATAACTTGGAATGGGTTGGTAAGTGATCCATTTTAAGTCAAGGACTGCCTGTAGTTCAGTGGTTCTCAACCTTTTTAATGCCGCAACCCCCAACCGGTCGTAAGTCGAGGACTACTCAACCGGTGAATAGACTCTATTCAAGAGAGTCTATTCTATTGGCTTTCAAAAGCCAATAGAATAAAAGGGAGTAGCACAGCCAAGGAAAAGGGGAAAAAAATGGCGGACTGCGTTGTTTGGCGACCCCTGTGAAATGGTCGTTTGACCTCAAATGGGGTCCCGACCCACAGGTTGAGAGCCACTGCTGTAGTTGACTTTAGTGATACGTTGAATTTAATTTAGTGACCCTTTAAATGAGAAACAAACTTCTCTTTCCAAAGGACTAATTCCTCTCCATGAAAAATTGCTGGAAACTTGCTACGAATAATCCTCAACTTACAACCGTTTTGTTTAGTGACCGTTTGAAGTTGCAACAGCACTTAAAAAAGTGACTTATGACCGTTTTTCAGACTTACGACTATTGCAGCATCCCCAGAGTCATGTGATCAAAATTCGGACGCTTGGCAACTCACTCATATTTCTGACGCTTGCAGCATCCTGGGGTCATGTGATCCCCTTTTGTGACCTTCTGCCAAGTAGGAAGCCCAATTCACTTAACAGCTGTGTGACTAACTTAACAATTGCAGTGACTCATTTAACAACACAGTGGTAAAATGGGGCAAAACACACTTAAGAACAGTCTGGTCTAGCAATGGAAATTTTGGGCCGAATTGTCGTCGTAAGTTGAGAACTGCCTGTATTTTGTTGTTAAATCCAATTTCAATGCAATTTCAGCACATTTTTGAACAGTTAAAATTGTGACCACGCAATGGGTCTCCCAGAAATTTCCCCTTCCTGTTTTCTCATTTAAAACACCCCCAAACTCACTGAAAACAAATTAAACATTTTGCACCCACCGTTTGCAAAAGATGGCATATAAGATCTTCAGTGGCTTTAGAAAAAGGGAGATTTGTGCCCTTCAAATCCCAGA